ATGTATGAGGTTTCAGTTATGCAAGATGAAACAGTTCCAGAGATCTGCCGTGCAGCGTGCTGCTTAGCGTTCACAGTACTCTACTTCACCCATAAACTTCGTTCAAAAGTGTACCGCTCATGCTTTTTACCACAGTAAAGCTTTTAAGAGAGTGATTTTCATGATGTGAAAAATATATGAAATTATATTCATCCGTACGTAAAGCTTTGCTGGAGCATGGGCATGCCCATTCATTTTCCTGATGGCTGTTTGCAAGCCACAATGGCAGTAATGAGTAGTTGCAGCTGAGACATGGGGCCTGCAAAGCCTAAAATATTTACTGCCCAGCCCTCTGCATCCCTGCTGTAAACCACTGTGGATGCTTCTCAACAATCATTTTGTTTGTGGAGCAGGTCGAGATGGGCCTGACCCAAAAATACAAAGGCCTTGGCTCCAGCTCTGGAGGCATGGCTTACTCGTTTTGGGACCTCACTTCCTTATCTGCAAAATGGGTCTAATGTCCATTTGTCAAAGTTGCCATGACGGTCACTGAGCTAAGGTACTTGATAACACTAAGAGCTCATGTTCATCGCGAGTTTTCTGGAGCCCGTGGAGCCACCGCTGCCCACACACAGTGCCTCAGCCTTGGAGGGAAGTAGTGCTGAGTGCCCACTGGAGGAAAACATGCTTTTGCCCAGGGCCAAAGCTGGCAGTCTCCACAGACATGGCTGCTCAGTCGGTGAAGCCTGTGGATGCCTCCAGGAATCACCTGAGGCTCAGAGAATGCCAGAGGGGGTGGGATGCACCTGGGGGTCCCGGCTGTGGCTTCTCAGCTCCATGGAGCTGCACAGGCCAGGAGCACCCAGGGAGAGCCTGACTCCCGGACACTGGGTTCTGGAAAATGTGCCTATGTGGCCCCCACCCGTCTCATCCTTCTGCTCACTGCTCTGAATCTCAGAGTCCTTCCTTGTGGCTCACCCTGGGCACCCCAAATGCAGCTTGCTCATATCTCAACTTGGCCTTTCCCCCCAGCCCAGGCCCTCCCTGTACCCTTCCACTAACTGCCCAAACCAGAGACCAACAGGGAATGGGGGTTGCCTGTCCCTCCGGTAACCCGCACCCACTCAATGGCTGTGTCCTGGCTACCCCCAAGCATTGCTGGATGTCACCCCCCACCAGCCTGGTCCAGGCCCCCGTGGCTGAAGTCCTGAGGCCAGAGGGATGGACAGCTTGCATTGACCGGCCCAGCACTAACTGCCCACCAGTGGAGCTGGTGGCAGCTTTGCAGGCAGGTGTGTCATATGGCATTGTAGGGGTCCCATGGAGTCAACAGGGACTGGGGAAGACTTAGCCGAGGAGTGGCCATTGAGAAGGACAGATAAGGAGGGGAGCTCTCAGACATGGAGAAACTGCCCAGCCACCAAGACAGTCCCAATTCTTAGCTGAACGGTGACAGAGAGCTGGCTGTGCACAGGACATATTGGCAAGAGCTTCACATCTCTCAGCATTGCAACCCGCCTGCCAGTCTGGAGAGGCAGGTACCATAATCACCCCATACACACTTCCACACGAGACTGTGGGAGCCCCTGATCTACCCTCCTAGGTCTCATTCCTCCCCTGGCCTGAACCCTTCCCTGAAGGTAGCTGGTATCCTAGAGCTTCTTCCCACACATGCCTTGATTCTTTCATCCTATATGCAGATATCTCAAACAACGTACAATGCTGTGTGTGTGTCCTTAGACCTTTTATAAATGATAGCATATTATACATGTCCTTCCACGACCTGCTGTTCTCACCCTATATAACATTGTAAGATTCATCCATGTTTGATTTGTGTTCATCCATGTAGCTCTGCCCTTTTTCACTGCTTTACAATCCCATTAAATATCCTCTCCTAGGAATGGAGGTTAATGGTAGCTTTATTTTTTAAAAAGTTTAACCACGGCCAAACAGGCGTATAGTTCTAAGATGAAGTAGTGAGGTTGAGTCTATTATGAAGAGCAACGGTGGCTTCCCACCCTACCCCACTGGTGAGTGGCAGCAAGTGTCTACTGGTGGTTCCACCTCGTTCTCATGCCATTTCCTGACTTGACCCCTTCAGGCCCTGACTTGATTTCAAGGTACAGAGCTTTGCAACATCCACTGTAAGTTACCTTCATCATTTTAAGAACTTGTCTAATACCTTTAGATCATGTTCGGAAACTATACCAGCAGCTCTTTGATTTATGTAACATATATTATTTTATGTAATAAATTCTATAGAGCCCCCTTATAAAATTGTTTTTACTCCCCAGAATTAATCCATAAACAATATTCAAGGAGCAATACGTAAAGTAGCAAGTGACTTTCTCTGCTTCTCTCCTCTTTTCCCAGTCTTCAGTCAGCATTTTTGATATCTATCCTTCCAGATTTTTCCTTGATGCTCAAAAATATATGAGGTTAGAATTTGGTTTCTCCTCTTCATCCTCCCTTCCCTCTGCCACCACAAAAAAACAGAATGTTTCTGGGTTTGACTCTATTGCTTGCTCTTACCTTTAATCATGTATCTTGGACAAGTTTACATATAAGTAACTACAAATCTAACTGCCTCTTTAATGTCTGCTTAGCATTGCACAGTATGGCAGCAATGCCACCAGGTGTGTTGGCTTATGCCTTAATACCAACACTTTAGGAGGCTGAGGCAGGATTGCTTGAGACCAGGAGTTGGAGATCAGCCTGGGAAATCACTTGCTAGCTGTATCCACTTGGGCTAACCACTGTTAGACACTCAAGACTCTCTTTGTAGAGACCCTGTCTCTCTACAAAATAAAAATGAAAAATTCACTGGGTGTGGTGGCACATGCCCATAGTTCTAGCTACTCAGAAGGCTGAGGCAGGAGGATCGCTTGAGCTGAGGACCTCAGGGTTACACTGAGCCATGATTGTGCCACTGCACTCCAGCCTGAGCAACAGAGCAAACCCTGTCTCTAATATGTATGTGTGTGTATAATATATATACATGTATATTATTATACATACATCCTCCTGGTCACTGCAATGTTTTTGTCTTATAAACAATATTACAGTGACCATTCTTGCACATATAGATGTGGTGGATGAGTATACCTGAAAGAGTGTCTGTAGATGTATGAATACATCATAGTATGTATATATGTTGTATACTTCAGGATAGAAGGTGTAGCCACCTCTTCACCTTTTTTTTTCTCGAAAATAAGTACTTTTTGAAGTGAGGGCAGAGCTGCTTTCTAGCAGAGGGTAAATTTCAAGAACCCGTTACCTTCAATTAAGATTAGTAACTAAAGGTTTACTAAGTTCAGGAAGAGTTGTATGGTGCTGTGGCTCATGCCTGTAATCCCAGTAATGTGGGAGGATCACTTGAGCCTGGGAGATGGAGGCTGCAGTAAGCCATGATTTCACCACTGCACTCCAGTCTAGGCAATGGAGCAAGATCCTGACCAAAGTTTAGGCAAATCTCAACTTCTTAGCTGAGCTTTTAAAGCCTCCAGTTCTGGCCATTTATTTTTCCTCCACCTCTTTTCTTCTTTTGCCCAGTATGTAAGTTAGTTCCTTACTTTCCTAGAGATATTGCTGCATCCCCATCCCTTTTTTTGTGCAGCTCCTTGTATCATCTCTGCATTTTACCCTCTGACGTTTTACCCTTTTTCCAAGGAGCCAGTTGCCATATGCCCTCTTTTCTATTTCTAGGACACATGGAAAGCTCATTCCTGCCTCAGAGCCCTGTTGTCTCTGCCTGGAACTCTTCCCCTGGATCAGTGATTCTCAATCCTGAATACACATTAGAATCCCCTGGAGAGTTTTTAAAAAGTCTGATACCTGGGCCAAACCACAGGCCAGTCCAGTCAGAATCTCGGGGTCCCAGGTATCAGTAAGCTCTCCAGGGGATTCCAGCAAAATCCAGTGATGTAGATCTTTCTATGCCCAGCTCCTTCTCATCATTCAGGTCTCAACTGAAATGTCACCTCCACAGAGTTGCCCTCCCTGACTGCCCCAGCTAAAATATGTGCCTTTTTGTTACAGCTCTCTGTTTTATAATATTTCCTTCATCTATCACACCTTTTAACTACCTTGGTTCTTTATTTACACATGTATCTGTTCCTGCCCCAGCATAGGCATCCCAGGAACTTAGGGATATACCTACCCTGCATGAGAGTGTCCCCAGAGCCTTTAAAAAACTTCAGACTTAGGATCCAACACTTAGGAGTGCTGGGTCCAGCATTTACTATAGCTGTGTACCATTGAGCAATTTACTAAACTTCTCTGTGCCTTAATTTCCTGTTCTGGAAAATAAGGATTATTATCGTACCTACTTTCTATAGTTATATAAGAATTAAGTGAGCAAATACAGGTAAACACAGAACAGTGCTTGGCACATTGTAAGCACTCAATAGTGTTAGCTATTGTTTTTTTAATATCTTTTTTTTTTTTTTAAGTCAGAGTCTTACTTTCTCGCCAATACTGGAGTCCAGTGGCGCAATCCCAGCTCACTGCAGCCTCTACCTCCTGTGGTCAAGTGATTCTCATGCCTCGACCTTCTGAGTAGCTGGGCTTAAAGGTGCCCACCACCATGCCCACCTAATTTTTGTATTTTTAGTAGAGATGGGGTTTTACCATGTTGGCCAGGCTGGTCTCAAACTCCTGACCACTGGTGATCCACCTCAGCCTTCCAAAGTGCTGAGATCACAGGTGTGAGCCATCCCACCCAGCCTATTATTTTAATATCTATCATGAATGATATATTGCAATTCCTGCCCTGTCCTACCTACCCACTTCTCTGCTTTATCCCCAATGAGCTTAGCACCATTTGCATCATTTGTTTGACATGTCATTTATTTTGCTTATTTCTTGTCTGTCTGCTCCCTAGACTGTCAGCTCCATAAGGGCAGGAATTGTTTTGTTCACTGTTATGTCCCCAGTGCCTAGCACGATGCCTGGCACATAGCGGACACCGGCATGAATACCCGGCTCCTCACCTGTTCTCCTGTCTCTTCCCCACTCCCCAGGATTACCTCACAGACCTCATCACCAACGACAGCGTGAGCTTCTTCCGCACGTCCAAGAAGATGTACCCGCACAGGCCAGTCCTCATGGTCATCAGCCATGCAGCCCCCCACGGCCCCGAGGATTCAGCCCCACAGTATTCATGCCTCTTCCCCAACGCATCTCAGCACATGTAAGCCGCAGCATTCTGCCTGCCAGAGGCTCTGCTTAGCATGAAGGGGGAGGGAGAGGCCTTACTAATGGTAACGTCACCACAGTGACTTAGCTGTGCTTTCTCTCTAATCCTCCTGGTTTAAAGACCCTAAGCACACACTTCTTGTCCATGGTGAAACTGGGATACAACTGCAGACAACCTGGCCAACAGACCAAGGCAGGAGAGTTTTTAACTTGAGATACATGGCCTCCCACCAAGATGTCTGTAGATGGAACTGTGAGGAATAGGTTTCCTTTTAATGCCATGTGTATTTTATTTCAGACACCTAAAAACATTCTTTTGAGGAGGGGGTCTATAGCTGTACCAGACTATCTGCCACCGTTTATTGAGCCATGGGCTCTGTAGCAGGTGCTGTGCTAAGCCCTTCACATCGTGTCCAGTTCCGGAATACTCATCAGGGCCCTTGGGGTGCCAGTTATCTATTGCCATGTGACAAATCACCCCAGAATCTAGCAGCTTAAAGTAACAAACACGAATTATTGCACAGTGCCTGTGAGTCAGGAATCTGGGGGTGGCTCTTCTGAGGCTCTGGCAGGATCTCCTGAGGTTGCAATCAAGGTGTCAGCTAGGGCTGCAGTCACCTGAGGGTTGACTGGGGCTCAGTCCCATGGCTGCACCTGGCCACATGGGCCTTTGTCCATCGGGCTGTTTGAGTGTCCTCACCTAATAGCTGGCCTCACCCAGAGCAAATGATCAGAGAGTGAGGCCAAGAAGGAAGCCACAGTCACTTTTACAACCTAAGCTCGGAAGTGGCACCATCGCTCTGCCATGTTCTGTTAGTCACACAGACCCTCCTACAGTGTGTGGGTCTACACAGCGGTGTGAAGGCCAGGAAGTAGGGATCATTGAGAGCCATCTCGGAGGCTGCCTGTCACACTTGCTGTTCCCATTTTACAGATGAGGAAACTGAGGGACAGAGAGGTGAGATGACTTACCTGAGGTCACCCAGCTCTAAGTGGCAGAGCCAAGATTCCAGTCCAGTTCCCTCTTCCACTTCCCATGTCTCTGCGCACCCCTGCAGTTCTCCATCCGGCTGGCTGGGAAAATTCCTGGAAAGTTCTGCCTCTCTGCCTCACACCACCCCCTGCTTAGCAGTGACTCCACAGCCCTTGCTCTGACATGTTGGGGCCACAAGGATGGGGTGGTTTGGAATCTGCCTGAATATTCAGGGTGTTTAGCTTCATTACAGTCGGAATACATTGCCCTCCTCAAGCCCCTCCTGTAATTACTTTCTGACAGCAGTCAAAGCAGCTCAGAGAGAGACCGAAGGCACTGTGTTCACCTCCACATCCCCGGGTCTCTGGGGAGGAGGCTTTGACAGATGATGAGCTGGGTCCCAGGGGCTGCAGCATTGCCGCAGTGCACATCTGACTGTCTGGCTCCCCCTCCAAATCCAAGCCCACTCCTCTCTACCCTAGAAGGCCAGCCTCCCCCACCCCCACTTACAGCTCATCCCGGCAGGGGGTGGAGGCCACTCAACCCCATCTAAGGAAGAAGCTGTGGGTGGGGTGAGGGACGCTTTGCTTCAGCAGCATCTCCTTTAAAAGAGGTACTGGCTTCACCCAAAGCAGCAGCGGGCAGTGCCGGAATTTTGTGATGAAATTGTTTGACATTGCCTGCTGGTTTATTTTCCCTTTGAAATGAAAATTACAGAAATTGGAAATGAGCACTGTCTGCTCTTACGTGAAGCCCCCTTTGCCTTATTAGGGGCATGTTTGGAAGGCTCTCTTATCTCTGGGGTATAATCATTTCCAACAGAAACCAAGAAAGAGAGTTCTGCAGCTGGGATGCTTAATGATGACAGTCATGAAGGGGTGAAGAGGGCCGGACACAGATAGAGCACTAGGGCTTTCTGTCGGGGTCTCCTATCTCATCTCTCCCTAGAAAGCCAGCCTCATGCCCGGTCCCAGGGCAGGCTTTGTGGACTATGGCAAAAGCTGGTAGATGGTGGTACCATCCATCCCACAAACCCCAGGGCCCTGCACCATTCCCATCCCCCCCCATACACACACAGTAACATACATGCAGACACACACAAAGACATGCAAATACACAGACAAGCTCACAGGGACATGCCACACAAGCACACACACACGAGGAAACACAAGCAGCCTGGGCGTCATAGTGGGGCTGTCTCTACCGAAAACTGTAGGGTCCAGTCCTGCATGGTTCTGTGAGCCCCTCCCAGCTGGTGCAGAGACAAGAAATTGTAGCAATAAAAGGCACAAAACATGGAGATCGAGAAAAGAGAGTTTGGGCCCAGGGGTCCACTGCTACCCAGATAGCGGAGACCTGCAGTGGGAACGCTCTCACTCTTATTGAGATGCAAATCTGGGGGCAGGGTAGGTAGGGCGAGGTCTTGGTGGTTGGAAACTGGGGGCAGGGTAGATAGGGCATGGCACTGATAGGGTCAAGTACATCACGTGTCATTCAGGTAGGGGCTCAGGAATTTCTGGCACCTGAAGTGAAGTAAGGAGCATAATGCATCAGCACCTTTTCCATACTTATCAAGAAAGAACTAAAACATTAAGATTTATATTACCATTACTGATTATCTTTTCTAAGACAAAAGGAACCAGGTGCAGAAGCGGAACATCACCCCTGAAACACAGCATCACATAGAGACGGTTAATCCCCGGATGTCTGCGGGCCTCCCTGACAGCCGGCAGGCCTTGCCACAAGAGAAGCGGAGTTTTCTTCTAACTCCTACGGGGAAGGAGACGTCTCAGTCATTTTGGACAGCTCCTTCCCTAACTGGCTAAACAGCAGACGCTTTCCGAGGGCTGGCGCTGCCACACAGCCAAGGCACCCTCCAGCAGCCCTTACGCGGGTGCGACAGAGGGCTTAGAGCATCTTGCCTTAGTGTCATTCATTTCACGGTGTCACCCCAGGTTCACGCTTCTGACCTGAGAGGCATTAGTAAAAGCATTAAGATCACATATGAATAATAACTACTACAGTTATATTTCTAGTTACTTTCTTCTTCATTATTTATATGGAAATAGGCTGAGGCTTTTTGCTTCTGCCTCGGGTCTAATGGGGTCTTTTCCCTACAGAAAATTTAAAATTAGCCAGGTGCATGCCTATAGTCCCAGTTACTGGAAAGGCTGAGGTGGGAGGATCACGTGAGCCCGGGAGGTTGAGGTTGCAACGGTACAATCTTAGCTCACTGCAAGAAGAAAGTAACACAGTAAGACCGTGTCTCTTAAAAAACAAAAGAAACACACACCTGCAGGCACACACCAAAAAATACACAGTTACAGATACACACACAGACATACAAACATGCAAACAGACATAGGCAGAGACACAGAGATACACACAGACATGCCCACAGACACCCCACCAGCCCTCCAAGCTTCCCTTCAAAGTGCAGTATCCGACTGTGGCTTCAAGGGATGTCAGGGCTGCTGCTGACAGCCCCAGACACGTGGTGGAGGAGGCTGTGAGGACACCGCCCTCTTCCTGCTGTTCCCCCCAGTGGAAAGGAAGGGGGATGTTCTCCTTCACACCCTTTTGTGAACCCACCAGACATTCCTCGGATGCTGGAGGAGGTGAGGTTTTCAGATCTTTGTTGAACAGGCAGCTGGGCCCTTGGGAACATGCCCACATCCTCCCTGGGAGAGCCTGGCTTGACACGGGCAACCGGCCCCAAGCACCACCCAGCTCTGCTGCCTCCTGGCCTCAATGTCCTTCTCCAAATCGTTCTCTCTGAGCCTGGGCTGCAGAAATCATCACGCTCCGAACAAACTCACCCCTCACTGTTCTCAAGGGATGACCTTAGCCTCACTTCTCATGGGTTCAGGGATGATTGCTGGAAATTACATCCTGGAATCTGGGCCCTTGGGCCTGCAGGAACGATTTTCCCACAGGCTGCGAGGCTCTGAGAGTATCTCTGCCCGACTGCTGCCCCCAGCAGCCCCCAGTCAGTTCCTTGGTGGGAGAGAGCTGAGAGTGAGGCTGGGCTTGTTCCTGGGAATGTTCTCCACAGCGGATCAGGCCCTGAGACGGCAGAGCTGGCCCACAGAGAGCCTGGCGGTTCTGGTAATGAAAGGAAGTGTGGGCCCTGATGGATTTAGTGCTGAGAGGCTGCAGATCAGCCAGGGCCTCAGAAAGCCGAGTCCAGGGGAGCCTTGGAGATAGTGACTCACCTCCCGCCTTACAAAGCAGCAGCGTCCACTGCTGCCACACCACCCAGCGGCAGCGTCACAATTTCTGTCCCGGATGATTGTGATATTTGAGACACTGCTGAAGTCCTGACATGGCAGGCCAGAGGGAGATGAGTCAGTGCCCTGCTCTGACCAGCCTTGCTTTTCCTCCTCCTCCTTCCCAGAAGCTCCTTGCCCCCGGAACACCCCTGTGAAAAGCAGTAGAAACTCAGCCTTTATCTTCCTTGCCTGGGGAGAGGGGTAAAATTCGCAGGGAACCTAGTCTTCAAGAATTATCAGGCCCAGGGTGAGGAGACCCATGTTTTGTGGGACCTTTTTTTTTTTTTTTAGATGGAGTTTTACTCTTGCTGCCCAGGCTGGAGTGTACTAGTACAATCTCAGTTCACCACAGCCTCCGCCTCTGGGTTCAAGCAATTCTCCTGCCTCAGCCTCCCAAGTAGCTGGAACTACAGGCCCGCGCCATGACAGCCAGCTAGGTTTTTTTTCTTTTTTTTAGTAGAGATGGGGTTTCTCCATGTTGGTCAGGCTGGTCTCGAACTACTGACCTCAGGTGATCCACCCGCCTCAGCCTCCCAAAGTGCTGGGATTACAGGCATGAGCCACCACGCCTGGCCTTGTGGGACTTTAAACAGTGCTTCCTGTCAGTGGTGCACCCCTCCCAGAAGACCCCCACATGCTGGGTTTTCAGTAGCTCAGATGCGGGGCCCCTGCGTAAGCTGAGGTGACAAGGAAGTGTTCATGGTTTGGTCATGATGACTCCTCTGGTTTCAGTTTAATGTCTCATTGACTAACCAGGGAACAGAGAAGGTCAGAGAAGTTTGAGGACCTGCCCACTGTCTCACAGAGTGAGTGACAGACCCAGTGTACCTGACTTCTGCCGTGGGGTCACCTGTGATTACTAATGACAAAGGGACACACCACTGATAACCTCTCCCCAGCAGTCATCATGCAGTGGGCATAGCCTCTCCCTCAGTGCTCATAGCCGTCCTGGGAGCTGGCACTGTCTGTGTTGTCCTTGGGTAGGAAGCGAGGGAACTGATGCCTTAGGAGGGAACTAACCAGCCAGAGACAGAGCTGGGGTTGGAACCCCAGCAGCTGGTATGGCCAGCTGCCCTGGGGTCCCTCCGTCCCTCATGTCCTGGGTGCTCAGACAGAACTTTGCCCAGCACACTCCTGCTGCAAGATTAAGAGGCACAGTGGCTCATGCCTGTAATCCCAAAACTTTGAGAGGCCGAGGCAGGTGGATTACCTGAGGTCAGGAGTTTGAGACCAGCCTGGCCAAGATGGTGAAACCCCATCTCCACTAAAAATACAAAAATTAGCCAGGCATGGTGGTGGGTGCTTGTAATCCCCGCTACTCTGGAGGCTGCAGTCAGCCAAGATCGTGCCACTGCACTCCAGCCTGCGACAGAGCAAGACTCCGTCTGAAACAAAAAAGAACGTGGCATTTCCCAAATGTACACATCAGGTGCCTTCCTCACAATTTTGGCCTTAAACATATAACTATAACTTATTTAACTTTTTAAATCAATTTCCATTATTTTAAACTAAAATCTACTGCAAAAGGATATTCTGTGGTCCTGCCTTAGCCACAATAACTGCAGTCTGCAACTCACCAAAGGTAACTGCCATCTACCAAAAACAGGTACAAGGTACGCAAAGGAATGCTACAGAATTTGAGTTGGGTGCTGGCTCCTGATGAACACTCTGAACTTGATTTTCTTCCCTTTTTTTGAAAAGGGAGATGAGCAAAGTCTAGAGATGTGTTAAAGACAGACTAGCACCAGTCTGAGACTGGCCTGAGGGAGCCAACAGGGCACTGACTGTCTCACTTTGCCGATCAAGATCCCATCATGCTGTGCCTCTCACGCGAACACCTCACACATGGAGAAACGGGGTTTGGAAAAGCCCCTGATGTGCCAGTGTCCCCTTTCGCACCAGGGGAGCACGCCTGGCCCTGGGCTGCAGACACAGCACAGGGAGGCTGCTCCTCTGGGCTGGTCTGGCAGGGACCGGGCTGGGTCCATGCTGTCCCGGCCTGACCGATGGGTATGTCCTTGCCCACCAGCACGCCGAGCTACAACTATGCGCCCAACCCGGACAAACACTGGATCATGCGCTACACGGGGCCCATGAAGCCCATCCACATGGAATTCACCAACATGCTGCAGCGGAAGCGCCTGCAGACCCTCATGTCAGTGGACGACTCCATGGAGACGGTAGGCACCCCCTGCATGCCTCTGCGGGTGGCCGGGCCCGGCCTGAAACCTCCCAGCCCGAAACCTCCCAGCCCTTCAGGCTTTTCCTGGAGGAATGGCACTCACAGGCAGAATGGAGAGGCCCATGCTAGACCTTGGGAAAGGCTTGGAGCAATCCAGACAAAAGCCTCTTCATTCATGAAACATTCTCAGTCTGTGCTGCCCAGTACAGTAGCCAGGTATTCCAGTTACGTTTTTTTCCCTGCTATTTACATTTTTGAACAGCTTTACTGGGATGTAATTCACATACCATGCAACTCACCCAATTAAAAAGTGTGCAGTTCTGTGCTTTTCACATGCCCAGAGTTGTATAACCATCACCACACCCATGCTAGCGCATTTTGGCTACCCCAAAGAGAAACCTCACAGCCCTTAGCCATGGCCCACTAAATCTCCCTCACCCTGCAACCCCAGACAACTGGTGATCTCTTTCTGTCTCTATAGATTTGGTTCTGCACATTTCCTATAAATGGAATCGTACCTGCTGTGGCCTCTATGTCCCGCCTCTTTCACTCAGTGCCCTGTATGCAAGGTTCACCCCTGGTGACGCGTGAATCAGTCCATTCCCTATTACTGCTGGATAATATCCCGTTGTATGTATATTATCACATTTTATTTATCCATGGCTATTTAACTCGATAGGGTAACAATTTAAAGTCAGTTCCTCTGTCACACAAACCTCATTTCACATGTCTAGTAGGTTCAGGAGGCTGGAGGCCACCTGTCGGACAGCACAGACATTAACACGCCACCAACGCAGAACATTCTGCCACACAGTGCCCTTCCGGATTGCAAGCTCCTGCCATAGGAATGAAACTATCCCAGTTTCTTTCATTCATCCATCCGTCCGATAGCATTTATTGAGTGCTGGTGTACATGGGATACAGCAGGCAGAGAACAAAATGACAAAAGTCTCTGCCTTAATGGAGGCAGCGTGCCAAGGCAGGGACACAGACAATCCACAAATAAGTAAAAGAGGCTGGGCGCGGTGGCTCACGCCTATGATCCCAGCACTTTGGGAGGCCAAGGCGGGTGAATCATCTGAGGTCAGGAGTTCAAGACCAGCCTGACCAACATGGAGAAACCCCATCTCTACTAAAAATACAAAAATTAGCCAGGTGTGGTGGCACACACCTATAATCCCAGCTGTTTGGGAGGCTGAGGCAGGAGAATTGCTTGAACCCAGGAGGCGGAGGTTGCAGCAAGCCAAGATCATGTCATTGCACTGCAGCCTGGGCAACAAGAGCGAAATTCCGTCTCACAAAAAATAAAAGAGATGGAGGCTGAGAAGTGCCATGAAGAACCGTGGAGGGGAGGGTGGGGCAGGGAGTGACAGCAGGCAGGAGGGTGCCGTTATCAAGGGGATAGCCCCTGGGGAAGTTGAGCGAAAACCTAAAGCAGGGGAGGGATGGGCCTGAGATCTCAAGCGTCTGTCACCCAGGGTTGGAGCGCTGGTCACCCAGTCCTCACTGCCCCCCTCCTCCTGCCTGTGTTGCAGATTTACAACATGCTGGTTGAGACGGGCGAGCTGGACAACACATACATTGTGTACACTGCTGACCACGGCTACCACATTGGCCAGTTTGGCCTGGTGAAAGGGAAGTCCATGCCGTATGAGTTCGACATCAGGGTCCCGTTCTACGTGAGGGGCCCCAACGTGGAAGCTGGCTCTCTGTAAGTGTGTCACCCCCCCAGGGACCCACAGAGGCCTCCAGGCTCAGCTTGGGGCTTCAGCCATGCTGACAAAACCCAAGCCACACCCCGGGTGGCTCATGATTTTGGCAGGTGGACCCCAGGGCCAAAGGAAAGCAATTATGTCATGCATTTTATACCCCTCTAGTGGGGAAGGAGAGGCCAGGAGCGTTAGCACCTGTGGAAACAGATTGTGGTAGGGCTGTCTGCCAGGAAATCCAGGGAGCTGGGTTGTGTACGTGTATGCACGCACGCGCGTGTCACCAGCGGATGGGAATGGCACTTGGATTTCAGTTCTGGGCTGGGCAGTCATTGATAAGGGGCTGGAGGTTGTCAGGGAGGAACCCCAGACCTCGACACAGGCAGCTGGTTGTGAGCCGGGATCAGCTGAGCCAGCTCCGGGCAGCAGCACAAAGGGAAACTCTTTTCCCTCCCATCCTTCCTGGAGGACCACGTGGGCCGAAGCCCTCAGCAAGCCATTCTCCTTGGGTTCACCTTTGAGATGACACGTTCTGGCAGCAAAAATGGCTACATCTGGGGCAGGGGAGCAGACAGGCCGGTATTCATGGCAGCAGCTTCCTTGGATCAGCTGGGAAATTATGAACTGGCTCAAATGGGTCTTTTGAAAAGCAGATGTGTTGCTATTGAGATTCTCAGTCGGCCTGACTTCTACCCTCGCCCAGACCCAGCACTCACACAGGGCTGGCTGCAGACTTCCTCCTGAAAAGGCATTGACAGTGCAGCATGGAATTCCAGACTGACATGTTCCCACTGCCTTGGACACATTTTGAGAATTCCAGGAGGCAGGCTGCATGAGTTCAAGTCCAGAGAAAGTGATGACTCTCTGTTGACCTCATCAGATCATGTGTGTCTTGGGCTCTCAGCATCCCCACTGGAATAAGAGCTGTAATAATGATAGCCCATTCGTGTGGAGTACCTATTCTTCAAGGCCTGGTCTAAGAAACTATGGAATAGGCCAGGCATGGTGGCTCATGCCTGTAATCCCAGCACTTTGGGAGGCTAAGGCAGGCAGATCATGAGGTAAAGAGTTCGAGACCAGCCTGGCCAACATGGTGAAACCCCATCTCTACTAAAAATACAGAAAATTAGCCAGGCGGGGTGGCATGCATCTGTAATCCCAGCTATTCTGGAGGCTAAAGTAGGAGAATCACTTGAACCCAGGAGGCAGAGGTTGTGGTGAGTAGAGATTGCGCCATTGCACTCCAGCCTGGGTGACAGAGCAAGACTCTATCTCAAAAAAAAAAAGAACTACGTAGTATTTCATTGCAGGCTGGTCCCGATGGCTCACACCTGTAATCCCAGCACTTTGGGAGGCTCAGGTGGGCAGATCACTTGAGGTCAGGAGTTCGAGACCAAACTGTTAACATAGTGAAACCCTGCCTCTACTAAAAATACAAAAATCAGCTGGACATGGTGACATGGTGCTGCACACCTGTAATCCAAGCTACTCAGGAGGCTGAGGCGGGAGAATTGCTTGAATGCAGGAGGCGGAGGTTGTGTTGAGCCAAGATCACACCACTGCACTCTAACCTGGGCAACAGAATGAGGCTTCATCTTAAAAGAAAATTAATAATTCATTTCAGCATCAAAACAGCTCTGTGACATGGATGCTTATATTAATTCTGTTTTATACCCAAGCACACAGAGGCACAGAGAGGTTAAGTTGCCTGCATTCACATAGCAAGTCAGGGAAGGGGCTGGGGTTTGAAGCCAGGCATTTTCTATCCCCCTCTGCCACACCTCTCAGAAACCTCGAACCATCCCCGTGAACAGAAAGAATCTGACCCACTGAGGGCTCTACAAACACTGACGTGGGGGGTTGGTCAGCTTCAGAATCTGTGATCTGACTCATAGGACCCAAAACCACATCCCATGTGGTCAAGAAAAAGACAGTGCCAATGTCAGGCTTGGTACCAAAGACACACAGTGTCTGTCAGCCGGGACTACTTTGGTTGCAACCAGAAACAACCTTTGAACCAGATGAGCTGAATGAGAAAAGGAATGTAGTAACTACAGTAACTGAAAATTCCATGCACAGCTCTAGCCTCAGGCATGGCTGGATCCAGCAGTCTTACCATGCCATTGGGAAGCTCTCATTTCTTATCTCTCAGTCCCATTTCCGCTGAATTGGCTTCATTCTCAGACAGGTTTTTCTCCTTAAGGCAGAGCCGGCAACTCCAGATGTTCAGAGGATACAGAAGTGACCACCTGAGCCAGGCTTCCTGCAGCTTAGAGTCTAACTGGGCAATAGACAGTAAACCATCCTGTTGAGGAAGCCAGACTGCTTTGAACAGAAGACCTGAGGCTAGTTCCCACTGGCCAGACTGAGGTCACAGGTCCTTCCCTGAACCAATCACTGTAGTCAGAGGTGACAGAAACCCTTGAGTGACCAGACTGAGTGCATTGGACAGTGGCCTCTGAATGGGGTCAGGTAGTTCCTCCAGAATTAGAAGGTGCTTCACGGAGCAAGGCATGGCCAGGAGAAGCAGCCACTGTCCTCCCCCCGAGCCTGAGGGAGCGGGGCCAGTGGACAAGCTCAGCCCCATCGGCTGGTGGTTGCTGGATTCGGCAGAGCGCCCTTCACTTAGCAGCCTTCCCAGCTCCCTCGCCTCCAGGTTGTTTTACCACCTCACACTGGCCTTTGAGCCCCCGTGACTCAGCTTCAGCCCACCTTCCCCAGCTGCACACAGGCTTGGCAGCCTGTCTGATGTTCACAGGGCACTGGACTGGGGAGAGATGGAGGGTTAAAGATTACTGACACTCTAGGACCTAGGCCCTGCCCTGATTGCCAGGGAACTGGCAGGGAAGGCACTCAGGTGCTCTGATGGCGCGTGTGTCCACCATTCATTCCACAGGAGCTGGACCCTGTGCTGGGCACACCCCTCAAGTCCCTTACCCTACACTGGGAATGCCATCAGCCAGAAACTGAGCCAGGCGAGGTGGCTTATGCCTGTAATCCCAGCACTTTGGGAGGCCAAGGCAGTTGTATCGCCTGAGGTCAGGAGTTCAAGAGTAGCTTGGCCAACATGCTGAAACCCCACCTCTACTAAAAGTACAAAAATTAGCCAGGTGTGATGGCACATGTCTGTAATCTCAGCTGTTGGGAGGCTGAGGCATGAGAATTGCTTGAACCCAGGAGGTGGAGGTTGCAGTGAGCTGAGATCTCGCCACCACACTCCAGCCTGAGCCTGGGTGACACAGCAAGACTCCGTCTCAAAAAAAAAAAAAAAAGGAGCCAGGAGAGGTGGCATATGTATGGGAATTCACTTCGCCAATATTTAGTGAGTAGCTACTGTGTGTCTAAGGGTACAAGTCCTGGGGATACAGAAGTGACCACCTGAGCCAGCCTTCCTGCAGCTTGGAGTCTAACTGGGCAGTAGACAATAAACCAGAGAAATAAGTAAAGTCTATAGCTTATGAGATGGTGATAAGGCTTCAGGAGAAAGGTAAACCTGGGAGGGTGGGGAGGGGGTGCAGTTCCAAATAGGGTCCTCAGGAGGGGCCTTGCGTTGCAGAACAAACTGCCAGACAACACACACACACAAACTTACAGTGTCTGAGGGTCAGAAGCCTGGGCCCAGCCCTGCAGGGTCCTCTGCTTAGGCTGAAATCAAGGTGCTGGCCAGGGCTGTGGTCTCATCCAGAGGCTTGACTGGGGAGCATCCTCGTCCCTGCTCCTGGAGCAGGTCCAATGCAAGCAGAGGACTTGAACCCATGCACTCTGCCTCCCAAACTGCTCACAGTCCAGCTGCTGATTTAGAGTGGCTTGCTTCTTCAAAGCCAGCAAGGGGACAGAGTCCAGAGCAAGACTGCCGACAGGATAGAGATGCCTATCTCATAACACAGCCCATCACCTTCGCCATGTCCCACTGTTGGCAGTAGGTCCAGGTTGGTCCATACCCAAGGCAAGGGGGTCACATTAAGGTGTGATCACCAGGGACAGGTGGGGACCACCAAAGCCTGTCATGGGCCTCCTTGGTAATAAAGCAAAGAACTAAAGAGGGGAGGGACAGTGGCACACCAATCTCCAGGAAAAGGATGTTCCAGGTACAGGGGACAGTAAAGAAGAAGCCCCTGAGGCTGGGCTGTGCCTGGGCTGTTGAGGGACAGTGAGGACCAGTGGTGCCTCAGAGGTCCTGGGGAAGGACTCGGGAAGGGCCAGGATTTGGGCTGGCTGTCAAGGTGGGTTGTCTTCACTCAGGAAGTAGGGGCAGGGAGGGCAGGAGGGGGACAGGGTGGGGCTGTCAGCTCATGCCATGGCATGTCTGAGGTGCAGAAGCTAAGGGGGGGGGGGGGCAAGTGGAAAATGGTGGTTCGGCTGAATCTGAGCCACAGCGGGGAGCTGCTGAGGGTCGAGGTGCCAGACCGCAGCTTCCATTCCTGCAGGTGTCAGCCCCCTGCAACCTGCTGCCCACCACAACCCCCTAACCCCCGAGTGAGGCTGAGGCCCCACCACCCAGGTGTCTGAGTCCCTGATCTCCTGCCTCCCCCAGGAATCCCCACATCGTCCTCAACATTGACCTGGCCCCCACCATCCTGGACATTGCAGGCCTGAAAATACCTGAGGATATGGACGGGAAATCCATCCTCAAGCTGCTGGACTCGGAACAGCCGATGAATCGGTGAGGAAGGGACAGGGCCGGTGCTGGGGGGGCCGGACACTGGGATCCTGACCTGCAGGAACTCAGGGCAAAACCCTATGGGTCTAGAACATGAGGTCCCCAAGGGTCGGGAACTAGGGTTCTCAGGTCCCCCCACCCCAACCACTTACCTGCTGTGGGAGAGAAGCATGGTCCCCTGTCTGAGATTCTGTCTTCCCATCTGGAATGTGGCCAAGGTGACCAGTTGGGGACCTTCTTGGAGCTAAAATTATACAGAGCTTGAAATAATAGCAGCAGTGATGGTTAGTGCTAACTATGCATCGACTGTGCGTGAGGCGCTGTTCTGAGGACCGTGTGGGGATTCTATGAATTTGATCCTCACTGTAAGCCAGTGAGGTGGGCATTAGTGTCATCCCCATTTTACCAGCTTGGAATCTGAATCCCAAAACGATTGAGTGACTTGTCGGAGATACCACAGCAAGTCTGGATGCAGCTCCGGGAATTCAGACACTGACTTGCCATGCCCCTAGCTTTAATGCTGGAGGGTGTGACAGGAACATATTCCTAGGTGTCCAGAGAGGCAGAATAGGAACCGTGAGGGTGAGCAAGTCACACAGGTGCAAGGCGAGCTGAGGCAGGGCACGGGTGCCAGCGTGGCCGCAGCGACATCTGGTGGCCAGCACTCTCACTGCCACCAGGTTCCTGACCTCCAGGTGCTATGTCAGCTCCTGGCTTGCACCTCTGGCAGCGGAGCCCTTCCTTGGTGGCCTCCCAGAGGCACTATGTGCCCACATCTGGCTGCCCTGTAGGGGGAATACGTCCATTAAGGCTCCAACCCCAACTGAGGCCAGGTGAGCTGTAATAGTATAAAATGGAGACATCTGGGGACACTGGCCTGGGAGCCAGGCCACCTAGGGGTCAGGGGACAGGGTGGAAGCTTCCCCTCTCGACTTCAGAGTGCCCATCTAGGAAATGGAAATGACCAAGTGGCAGTTGGTGAAACACACAAAATACATACATGCAACAGCAAAGCATTAAAGACGAAAACACGCAGCAAAGTGTCAAAGACGAAAACACAGAAAACACACAGCAGAGCGTCGAAGACGAAAATGCAGAAAACACAGCAGAGTGTCAAAGACGAAAACGCAGAAAACACACAGAAGAGCATCGAGGAGAAAACGCAGAAAACATATAGCAGCGCTTCAAAGACGAAAACACGCCAAACTCAGTGCAATGAATCTGACACCAGGACAGCCGCTGACCTGGCACTGAACTGAAGACAGCTCTTCCAGCTCCGGGGCAGTTGTTGGGCTTCCTGTGCGCACACACTGTTACGTGGGTGGGACTTAGAGTGACTGACCTGGGTCATTTCTGCCCCATGTGCCTCCAGACCCAAGTCTCTAGGGGAAGGGATGGATCAACTTGCAGAAGGGTGCAGAAGCTTCTGACTGGAAACGGAGGCTGACTTCAGGCGTCATCCCTGCTCCTGGGGGTCATCGGGGGTCGTGGTGAGCCCTCACATAGCTGAGAAGCAAGAGCTGTGCTTTTTTTCCAGGTTTCATTTGAAAAAGCTGAAGGTCTGGCGGAACTCCTTCCTGGTGGAGAGAGGGTGAGTGCTGAGTCCTGGGAGGGCCACCACCTGCCCACCTGCCTCTCTCCCTCCCTCCCCCCAGGAAACTGCTGTAGCCCCACCCATCACGGTGTTCAGACCTCCCACCGGGGTAGCAGGGAGAATAGAGCCATGGAGCTACCTTCCAGCAGTGGCTTTGCAGCTGTGTCCAAAGACCCCTCAACACAGAGCCCATTCGCTGCTCCTATAGATGACACAGAATTAGGGTCTGAGGTCACGGGCAGCCTTTTAGCATGTTATATTCAGCCTGTACAATGTCTTCCATGTATTTAACTTATTGCAAACTCATGCCGTTTGGGAAGTTTCTTATGAAATTCTAATATCTTAAGTCTCCTAAACATCAGGAGGTCAGAACAGGGTGGCCCTGCGTCCTCCACTGTGAAGATAAGCCAGAGCCAGGGGGTCCCCTCTAAGTGGACACGTGCGCTTCCCGTGCTCCTCAAAGCTGAGAGGCTGTCCCCGCGGCTCCTGCTGTCTGCCCCACAGCAAACTGCTACACAAGAGAGACAGTGACAAGGTGGACGCCCAGGAGGAGAACTTCCTGCCCAGGTACCAGCGTGTGCAGGACCTGTGTCAGCGTGCCGAGTACCAGACAGCATGCGAGCAGCTGGGACAAGTAAGAAGGCTCCCTGTCCTCCTGACGGCCCCTCCCGACTGTAGCCAGCCCTGGCCTGCGAGGCCCTGAGAGTTGCCCAGCCAGCAGGGCCGAGGCCTCCCAACAGGTAGCCCTTTGCTGCCGTGTGACGCCCAAGATGCTGTTTGGTGATGCTGGGTGACACTAATTATAAGTAATTTTTTTTTTTTTTTTTTGAGACAGAGTCTCACTCTGTCACCCAGGCTGGAGTGCAATGACGTGATCTTGGCTCGCTGCAACCTCCGCCTCCCAGTTTCAAGCGATTCTCCTACTTCAGGCTTCCAAGTATCTGGGATTACAGGCGCGTGTCACCACGCCTGGCTAATTTTTATATTTTTAGTACAGATGGGGTTTCTCCAGGTTGGTCAGGCTGATCTCAAACTCTTGACCTTGTGATTTGCCCAACCTCGGCCTCCCAAAGTGCTGGGATTAGAGGTGTGAGCCACTGCGCCCAGCTAGTGATTCCTTTCTCAGCAGCCTTGGGACCTGACCATGTCAGAGGCCAAGTGTCCCATGGGTGTGCGTGTGCCCTTCACGCCTCTCTGGCCCTTGGTGACCCCTCTTGCACAAAGGGCCCCAGCAGAAGTTAAATAATTTTATTTTACTGCGTTCACTTTGATTTTTCTTTTATAGAAGTGACAAGCAATGGCTTTTAAAAATAAATTCATATACATTTTTTAAAAAGTGAATTGATTGCAAGAGAAATATTAAGGAAATGATGGCCAGGAACAGCCATAATTAGCAGTTTGCTGTGGGGCAGAGAGCAGGAGCCGCGGGGCCGCCTCTCAGTGGCTCAAGCCTGTGGTCCCAGCTACTCCAGAGCAGAGGTGGGAGGATGGCTTGAGCCCACGGGCTGGAGGCTGCAGTGAGCTATGACTGCACCACGGCACTCCAGCTTGGGTGACAGAATAACGTGTCTCTAAAAATAAGAAAAAAGAAAATTACCTGGGAAGTATTCAGAGATAGCAGAAACTGACACGTTTGAGAAAGCCTGAACAAGGCTTTTCTAAGGCTGGAAGGCCAAGGTGGGCTTGGAGAGGAGGGTGGGGGAAGAGCAACACCAGCCGGCAGGGAGGAGATGGGACGGGAGATGGGCGTGACAGGGGCAAGGAGAGCAGGTGAAAGGCAGGGGGCCTTCAATAGCAGTGAGTTGGGGGACACAGCAGAGGGCGGAGATGGTGGCGCCAGGTTCCACACTATACCCTACAGCCCTCGCATGCCCCAGCTGTGTGACCCAGGACACGTCCCTCTACCTCTGTGTGCCTCGTCACCTGCCTTGTAGGGTCGCGTGAGGTATAGTGAGCAAGTTAGTATCAACACACAGTGCTGGGCACATGCTATGTGCTGGAGAGATACAGGGAGCAGATCCGACCCGTGGCCTGGAAAGGTCACTTTAGCACAAAATAGGCCCTAAAGAGTCATGTGGTGAACGGGCTGGAGCAGGGTTGACAGACGGGAAGAGAATCTAGTTGGCAGGTCGGTCATTGCAGAATCCCATGAGGGGATCCAGGAGGCTGGAACAGGGGAGAGAAGAGGAGCAGTTTGGACGGTGATTCTGTTTACATTAAGCTTCTGACCACAGTCTGTGGGAAGGCGGTCAGGGTCCTCTTTGCGCTGGAGCAGAGACAGAAGGAAGAAAAGGCCCTGGCAGCATGAGGGCTGGAGACAAGGCATCTAGGGAGAAGGAACAGCGCACCGAGGCCCGGAGGCAGCAGTCCTTGGGATACTGGAGAGCGAGGGCCGGGCTGAGGCAGAGCAGGGGCAGGAGAGGAGGACCCGTGGGTAGGCAACGGCCTGATTGGGAGAATGTTTGAAGACCTGTATCAGGAGCTTGGGTCTTGTCCTAAAGACAGTGGGAGCCATTGAAAGGTTATGAGTAGGAGAGTAACATGACCTGACTTGCCCTTTGGAAAGATTCCTTGGCCAGGTGCGGTGGCTCACGCCTGCACTCCCAGCACTTTGGGAGGCCAAGGCAGGTAGATCATGAGGTCGAAGATAGAGACCATTCTGGCAAAACCCCATCTCTACTAAAAATAGAAAATTAGTTGGGCATGGTGGCGTGCGCCTGTAATCCCAGCTACTCAGGAGACTGAGGCAGAAGAATTGCTCGAACCTGGGAGTTGGAGGTTGCAGCAGTGAGCCGAGATCGCACCACCATACTCCAGCCTGGCGACAGAGCAAGACTCCGTCTCAAAAAAAAAGAGTCCTCTAACTGTCCTGTGGGTGGATTTTCGGAGCAGAGAGAAGCAGGCAGCCATGAGTGGTGGCTGTCGTAGGCATCTCGCGGCAGGTGATGGTGGTTCTGCCCGAGGTTGAAGCATGGCCAGAAGCGGCACTTGCAGATGCAGGTGTAGGGCTGGGTGCAGGCAGGGCGGGAATGTCTCTGGGGTGGATGGGGGTGGCACGGGAGAGGCGGGTCTGGAGGAGCAGACAAGCAGCTGGCTGAGACCCTGGTGTGCCTTGCAGAAGTGGCAGTGTGTGGAGGACGCCACGGGGACACTGAAGCTGCACAAATGCAGGGACACCATGCCGCTGGATGATGGCAGAGCCTTCTCCAACCTCGTGCCCAAGTACTACGGGCAGGGTAGCGAGGCCTGTGTCTGTGGCAACGATGACTACAAGCTCAGCCTGGCCGAACGCCGGAGAAGGCTCTTCAAGAAGAGTAAGTGTCACGACCTGGCTGAGTAGGATGGGAGGAGAGAGACCCTGCCTGGGAGCCCCATTCTTTCATTCACACAATTCCACAGAGACTGTCACTTTGCCAGGTAGTGATCTAGGGACTGGGGACACAGCCATACCTCCTCACAAGCCACCTGTGCTAGTGGAAGCAGTAATAATAAAACAGATAAGTCCAGGCATGGTGGCTCATACCTGTAATCCCAGCACTTTGGGAGGCCGAGGCGGAGTTCGGCCTGAGGTCAGTAGTTCGAGACCAGCCTGGCCACATGGTGCAACCCGTCTCTACTGAAAAGACAAAATGAGCTGACATGGTGGTGCACGCCTGTAATCCCAGTTACTTGGGAGGCTGAGGCAGGAGAATCGCTTGAACCCGGGAGGTGGCGGCTGCACGGAGCCAAGATCACGCCACTGCACTCCAGCCTGGGCGACAGAACAAGACTCTATCTCAGAAAAAAATCTCCTTAGTTTATAAGACCACGGCCTCATTAGAGACTGAGGTGTCCGGGACGGGTGCGGTGGTCTCCTCTGGTCCACCCAGCCAGGCAGCAAACATCTTCACCATGGAGCAGACACGTCTCTCGCCATTAACACCTAGCCCCTGCTCCAAACAGCGCTTCCCAGTGATGATCCGCCGGTATATTTCCTGGCCAGCTGATTGGAAACTACTACATTAACTGTCCTAGCTGAATAGGACGATTGGTTTCCAGATTGGATTACACAGCCAGCCTCTCCTTGCTTCAGCGTGTGGCACAGTGGATCATCTTTAAATAATGCAAGATCTCGCAGGGAGAAATTCAGCTTTTTTCCCCCCTTATTAAGGCTTAGAGGAAAGAAAAATGTCCCTAAGTAGCTGAGAGTCAGCTCAGCCCTGGTAAGAAGTCCTCGGCAAGTGTGATGTCAGAGGCTGGACCTCCTGTCAGCAGCCTGTGAGTGAGGCAGGGCGACCACCCTCATGATGGACAGGAAAGCCTGGCTCATGTGGCTGATCTGGGACTCCAGCCCTATCTCCTGCCCAGCATTCATTCCTCCCCTGCCAGGGTCTCCCACAAGACACTCTGTCCCTCTATTTTTTTTTTTTTTTTTGAGATGGCGTCTTGCTCTTTCTCCCAGGCTGGAGTGCAATGGCACGATCTAAGCTCACGGCAACCTCTGCCTCCCAGGTTCAAGGGATTCTCCTGCCTCAGCCTCCTGAGTAGCTGGATTGCAGACGTGCACCACCATGCGTGGCTAATTTTTGTATTTTTAGTAGAAATGAGGTTTCACCATTTTGGCCGGGCTGGTCTCAAACTCCTGACATCATGATCCACCCATCTTGGCCTCCCAAAGTGCTGGGATTATAGGCATGAGCCACCACGCCTGGCCTGTCCCTCTTTTCTGAGCAGTCAGCCTATAGCAGGCTGAGCCTGGGGGCTTTCTGTCCTCCAGGGGACACTGGCAATGTTTGGAGACATTTTTGGCAGGCACAGTTGAGTGTGATGGACGGGTGCTGCTGGCCTCTAGTGAGCAGAGGCTGTGGTGTGGGGAAGCCAGGCCAAGCTGGCCAGCCCACAACAGAAGACGGAGCTGGGAACAGGAGGAAGGGACCAGGACTCGGGGGATGAGACCAGGTTGCCGGGGTTCATTCATTTCTTGAACTCTGTGCAGACACTGAGATCAGAGTTGACCTAGAGAGACACTGACTCTCATGGACCTCGTGGATGAGACAAGAGGTGAAGAAGTTAGCAGAGAGGGCCACTTTCCCAGTGAAAAATGCGTGAAGGAGATGCAGCGGTGGCAGGATAGGGCAGAGGGGTGGTGGCTGCAGGATGGTGCTCAGTGGACATTTATTCAGAACCCGGTACAGAAAGGAGCAGGCCTTGTCGGCCAGAAAGCAAGTGTTCTGAGGAGGAGGAAGATGAAGGACTTCTGTGTGCTCAGAATGGGCGTGGCGGTCCCAGCCACAGAGAGGTGACCGGTGTGGCTCAGGGTGGTGAGCGGCACAGTGGGCACGAGCAGCCATATCATGCAAGGGAATGCTGGCCTAAGGAGGCAGGGAGTGGGCCCAGGGTGTCACCTGAGGTGAGAACATAGCTGCAGGCAGCGTCCCCAGCCACCACGGTAGCTGGTCCACACCAGCTCATCACACCGAACGCTTCACTGGTTCTGTTTTGTGCCATCCTCCACAGAGCCCTGTAAGGCAGGCACCATCATGAGGATTTGCCCAAATCGCTAGGGCCCACACATGTGCTCAAGGGTTTGCAGCTGAGAATACTACTGCCACACCAGAGCTCTCGGCTGCCAGGCGATGAAGTCCTGTCCCATGCCCCGTTTGTGTGGCAGGAAGGTGTTAGCTCCAGGACTCTGGACAGGGACACAGTAAGAGGAATGGGGAGAACAAGTCGTGTGACTTCAGTCCAGGAAAGGATTGACACAGGGCGGGGAGACCATTTCTGTGGAGAGTGGAGAGGAAAGGTCGTGAGCTTTGCCGGCCTTACCGTGTCAGCGGCTCAGCCCTGCGCCTGCAGAGGTCTAGGCAAAAGGCAGCAGCTGTGCCTGGTGAAACTGTGTTCCAAAGACAGCCAGAGGCCGGTCTGGGCCCTTTCGCCGTGGTTTAGAGGCCCCTGGGTCTAGAGCTGGGAGGAGGAGGGTGGTAGAAAGAGGAAAGCAGCTCACTCCTGAGCCCACTGAGACAAGAGGAGCAGAGAGAACACGCTGGGCTACGTCCGGTCCGGGGTCTCTCAGGGCAACCCGAGAGGCACAGGGAGTGCCCTCAGACTTTGTGCACTGGCTTCAGGGAGACTAAGCCGAAGGAGGGAAGGGCTGCAGAGAAGGCTTCCCCGGCGCCAGAAAAGGCCCAAGGCTTTGCTAGAGAGGGGATGCCTCTCCTGGGCCCTCAGGACCCTTTGGCCCTTGTTACTCGGATGAAGGTGTCTGAGAACTGAAAGATACAAAACATCCCCCAAGAACAGGGGCAGCGAGACCCAGGCCACGTGGGAAAGGAAGCCCTTTCCTCCCTCCTTCCACCACCTTCCACCACCACCTGCCTCCAGTAGGTCCTCCTTGGTCACCATCTCCAGGTCACTTGGGACCTAACAAAAGCTGGGCCACTAACTGGCTCCAGGCTCTTCTCCTTAAACCAGGTACATATGGAGAAGGATTACAACGCCAGTGCATGCTGGGGCCAGACACATGCCGGGTGGCAGAGGTTTAACACAAGAAGACGTGGCGGGGCTGTGGCCAGCAGGGAAGACACTGGCCAGCCAGAGGGGCCGCTCCCCTTCGGCTCATCCTGACCACGTGGAGCTGTGGGCATGGGAGACATCTGTTTCCTTTCCGGAAGCTGGAAGCCTCCACCCTCCGTCACCGCCCCCACCTCCCCTTTTTCTCTCATGTCAGCAACTCAGATTTGTTTTTGAGACAGAAGATGCAGGCTCTCTGGGGTGTCACGTTAGCCTACACGCACTGAGTTTTTGGCATTAGGGTATCCGTAAAGCTCCTCTCAGCCTCATGCCCCATGCACCTGGCTGGCAGCCTCCAGCTCACTGGGTCTCGGAGAAGCTAAGTGGCTTCCCCAGTCCCCATCCATGTCTCTCCAGAGACATGCAGGCACTGCAGGGCCCTTTTCCCAGTTCGAGGTGTTTTCATATCCATACTACTTTTTTTCCTTTTTAATTGAGATGAAGTTGAGATGACATAAAACCTAGCATGTTCACAGTTGTATACAATGCAGAGACATTAAATACGTTCACAGTGTTGCACACCCCTAACTAGTCCCAAAACATTCCATCACCCCAGGAGGGAACCCCGCACCTGCCCGCAGTCACGCCTCACTGTCCTCCCCATCTCAGCAACCACCGATCTCTCTGCCACTGTAGATTTACCTATTCTGGATAGTTCCTATAAATGGAATGAACAATACGAGCCCGCTTTGTGTCTGGCTGCTCTCACTCATCAGGATGCTTTTGATACTCATCCACGCTCTGGCATGAATCAGAACCTTGCTCCTGGTGGCGCATTCCGTTGTACAGATGATGTGCCATCATTTCTTTACCCGTACGCAGCTCTTGTTTGAAATCCTCTCGAGCCGGTGGCTTCTTGGCTCTAGGACTTCAGTGTTGCCGGTGTGATCAGCTTGAGGCCCTCCCAAGATCTGTGAGCAGGCGGGTAGATTTCATGACCCTCGGGTCGCAAGCAGTGCTGAGCTTCATTCTTAGCAGCCTGGCTCTATCTTGATGAAGGAGCCACTGCCCAGACAGCCCGGCCAGCCTTTCCCGCCTCCCTGACTCTGCCACCTCTCAATGCCCACAGGGTACAAGTCCAGCTACCTTCGCTATCGCTCCCTCCGCTCAGTGGCCATTGAGGCAGATGGCAGGGCGCACCACGAAGGCCTGGGTGATGCTGCCCAGCCCCAAAACCTCACCAAGCGGCACTCGCCAGGGGCCCCTGAGAACCCAGACGACAAGGATGGTGGGGACTTCAGTGGCACTGGAGGCCTTCCCAACTACGCCACCACCAACCCCATCAAAGTGACAAATCGGTGAGTGTCCAGGTGGAAGTTGAGGGTGACGAGGACAGGACAGACCTTTGGAAGGGCTTCCCACATCTCTTGGGCCCCTAGGCTGGTCCTTCTCTTCCTCCACCACCTCTTCCTCCTCCATCACCTCCTCCAGCACCTTCTCCATCACCTCCTCTATCACCTCCACCTCCACCACCTCCTCTACCACCTCTTCTTCCTCCAACTCCTCCTCCATCACCCCCTCTATCACCTCTACCTCCACCACCTCCTTTATCACCTCCTCCATCACTTCCTCTATCACTTCCTCCACCACCTCCTCCATCACCTCCACAGCCTCTTCTTCCTCCACCTCCTACTCCATCACCTCCTCCAGCACCTCCTCCATCACCTCCACAACCTCTTCTTCCTCCACCTCCTACTCCATCACCTCCTCCAGCACCTCCTTCATCATCTCCTCCTCTACCTCCACCACCTCCATCACCTCCACCACCTCTTCCTCTTCCACCTTCTCCACCTCCTCCTCCATCACCTCGTCCTCCTCTACCTCCACCACCTCCACTACCACCTCCTCCATCACTGCCTCCTCCTCTGTCTCCACCACCTCCTCCTCCTCTGCCTCCACCACCTCCTCCATCAACTCCATCACCTCCTCTACCTCCTCCTCTACCTCCTCCATCACCTCCTCCTTCATCACCTCCTCCTCCATCACCTCCTCCTCCTCCTCTACCTTCTCCATCACCACCTCCACCTCCATCACCTCCTCCTCCTCCTCCACCTCCACCTCCTTCTCCACCTCCTCCTTCTCCACTACCACCTCTTCTACCTCCTCTCCTCCACCTCCTCCTCCTCCTCCCTCCACCCCCTCCTCCACCTCCTCCATCACCTCCTCCTCCGCCTCCTCCTCTCCCTCCTCCTCCATCACCTCCTCCTCTCCTCCTCCACCTCTTCCTCTCCTCCTCTACCTCCTCCCCCATCACCTCCTCCTCCACCACCTCCACCTCCACTGAGCCACATATGATCCCTTCTCTCAAGCAGGTGCCACATCCTGGAGAACTATACAGTTCGGTGTGACCTGGACCTGTACAAGTCCTTGCAGGCCTGGAAAGATCACAAGCTGCACATCGATCACGAAGTGAGTGGAGTGCGGGTGAGAGGAGCGTGCCCTCAGCCACCACGGGCCTGACAAGACCCCCAACTCACAGTGGGAGGGCAGTGAGGCCAGACCCAGGGAAGAGGCTGGAGAGGTGAAGTAAGGTCTTCACAGATTCCTCAACCCAGTGACCGGTGTCAGTCCCAGCATCAGACAGCTTCCTACACAGGCTGAGGGAGGACGGCTTAGCCACACTGTCCCCCTTTAGACTTACAAGAAGTACTACACTGGCCTTGCACAGGGGCTCACACCTGTAATCCCAGCACTTTGGGAGGCTGAGGCGGGCAGATCACAAGGTCAGGAGATTGAGACCATCCTGGCTAACACAGAGAAACCCTGTCTCTACTAAAAATACAAAAAATTAGCCAGGTGTGGTGGTATGAGCCTGTAATCCCAGCTACTTGGGAGGCTGAGGCAAGAGAATCACTTGAACCCGGGAGGTGGAGGTTGCAGTGAGTAGAGATTGCACCACTGCACTCCAGCCTGGGTGACAGAGGGAGACTCCGCCTCAAACAAAAACAAAGACGTCTACACTACATTAAAGCATTTCACCAAGCCCAGGGGAGATACAGGAGCACGCAGTGGGCTCAGTGGGTTCCTGCGCAGGCCAGGCCAGGAAAATGACTCGCTTCCCTTGCATGCGCTGGCTGGAGGGGAGGGCGGGCTTCCTTCAGCAGGCGGAACCAGTGCCGCCTCCCCACCCACACGTGCCCGTGCTGGCCGTGGGGCCGGGCAGTGCAGCCGCCGCTGCTGAGCAGAGGTGCGGGGACAGCCGCCAGGCCAGGCCTTTCTCGCCCAGCCCGTGGCGGTTTCCAGGCTTCCTCTCCTGCCCCTCCCTCAGATTGAGACCCTGCAGAACAAAATTAAGACCCTGAGAGAAATCCGAGGTCACCTGAGGAAAAAGCGGCCAGAAGAATGTGGCTGTCACAAAATCAGGTGAGGCAGTAGCAAGGGGACCTGCCTCAGACCCCACTCTCCTACAGGGCAGTTCATCTCCTCTCATACTGGCCCCCTTTCATCACTTTTTTATCTTCATCTTCTCCCTCATGGCATTAAAAAAAACTGTAATTCACATCCTTATTGTCGGCCAGGCTGCGCCCAGGTTCCAGTCCCGCTAGCTAGAGGCCCACACTTGCTATGCAGAGCCGGCTCCAGGCCGGGAAAGGCCTCTGCCCAAGGCCCTTTCAGAAATTGCCCACGTGGTCTGAGGTCCACGTTCCCAGCTCAGGGGTCCCCTGGCCCAAAGGACTGAACTCTTAGAACAGCTCTGTCCAGTAGAACACTGTGCTGCTGGAAATGGCCTGTACCTGCCCTGCACCCCGTGTGGCTGCTGCACCCTTGAAATTGTGGCTAGTGTCACCAAGGAGCCAAATTTTTTATTTTGCTTAATTCAAACTGAAGCAGCCACCGGTAGCCAGTGGCTCCTGTACTGGACAGCACAGCTGGAGAAGCCTGACCGTTCCAGAAAGTCTGGCAGACATAGGCTCCCCTGTGCTGACCCCAGCCAAGCATGTGCAGGCAGGTGGTGGGGAAGCAGCCTCAAGATGCCGAGGCTTTGACATGTGAAATTAACCCTCCAAAAAGGAAAGGAAAAGGCTGCTGAGGCTGACGCCACCTAAAGCCAGGCCCAGCTTCTAGCCGTGGCTAAATTACCACGAACCTGACCTTTTAAAGCCTAGCCTGGGGTCTTCAGGCAGGGTTCTGGTGCATGCTTGGAGAAAGAAGCCAGCCAGGCAGGTACCTGCTGCCCCGGGGATAGGACAGTGTCCTCCCACCACCACCCCAGAAGGGGAGGGCAGGGGGCAGGGCAGCAGCTATACGCCGGAGTCCCAGGGACCCTCTAAGCCATTTCTGAAGGCTGGGGCTGGGGGGTCTCTTACAGCTATGACACCCAGCACAAAGACCACCTCAAGCACAAAGGCTCCAGCCTGCATCCTTTCAGGTAAGGGCAGCTTGAGGTCCTGGGGAAGAGAGGCCTGCGTGAGAAGTTCTCCTTTAAGCTTAAAGAAGAAAAAGCAAGCCCTGGCCCTTCCCTGGGAAGTCCGTGGTGACCCCGAAGAGGCCTTACTTCCCAGTCCACACTCAGCGGGCCTCTGATGCCCCCTTGTGGCTAAAATGGGGTTGCCGCAACTCCACCAAACAGGGCAGGACTCGGGAAGGGAAAGGGGTGTCAACGGGAGTCCCAGTAGCCGCATAGTTCTGTCCCCACCTCTGTGCCCTCTTGGGAGTTAAAGTAGGACGACGGAAGACCCAGGTTCTGGCCCCGGCTGTGCCTTGGATCAGCATTGGGACTTGGGACCCTGAACTGCTATGCCCATGGGTCTCTGTTGGAGAAGCCTCAACCCAGCCCCTAGGTGGACAGAAAGAGCAAAGACGTGGGGTCACTGATCCCTCAGTGGCCCAACATGTGTCTGGCCCTCTGCGCCCATAGGAAGGGTCTGCAGGAGAAGGACAAAGTGTGGCTGTTGCGGGAGCAGAAGCGCAAGAAGAAACTCCGCAAGCTGCTCAAGCGCCTGCAGAACAATGACACGTGCAGCATGCCAGGCCTCACGTGCTTCACCCACAACAACCAGCACTGGCAGACGGCACCCTTCTGGACCTGTGAGCGAGCCCCGGGCAGGGATGGACAGGCTGGGGCCCAGGGGGCCAAGAAACCTCCATTTCGCTTAGTGACTCACTTGGCCCCAAGCTTGTAAAAGCTTCCACTCCCAGACCTCTCCCAGAAAGGGGGTCCCTGACACCAGGGATCCATGGTGCCTGGGGCAGCCTCTTGGCATTCGAGAAACTGGTTGGGGGGGCGTCCCTGACAGGAGTCACTGTTGGCAGATGGGGCTTCCTCCCACAGGCACTCAGGATGTGCTCTGTCTTCCTTGGCAGTGGGGCCATTCTGCGCCTGCACCAGCGCCAACAATAACACATACTGGTGCATGAGGACAATCAACGAGACTCACAACTTTCTCTTCTGTGAATTTGCCACGGGGTTCCTAGAGTACTTCGATCTCAACACAGACCCCTACCAGGTACAGACAACACAAGCAGCGGGGCAGGGGTGCACCCGTGCCACCAGGTAGGCCGTCCAATCTCAGGGAAGTGATGACAAATTGTCCAAGTCCCATTGAGGCCCTGAGCCAGTGGGAGTAAGTTGAGAAGCCACTGAGATTGGGGGAATCTGTGTTCAGCCTTTTTTGCCTCCATCACGCTGCATGTGTAATATATGCAGCTTCTTCCCTCTAACTTAACATGTCAGCATTCAACCAGGCTTGGCAGGAATTTGTGACGACTCCTGAAACTGTCAGGCTGTAGGGTCAGGCCAACTGTTACCTACTGCAGGGCCTGCACAGACCATGCAGATAATGTAACAGTCACACACGGCACCATGCACTCTGCTAAGTGCTTCTGTACAGTAAGCCATCTAAACACACAGGCGACTGGGGTGGCCCAGGGCCACACGAAAGACCAAAAGGGACTAGGCGCAGTGGCTCACGCCTGTAATCACAAGGCAGAGACAGGCAGATCACCTCATTTCAGGAGCTCGAGATTAGCCTGACCAACATGGAGAAACCCCGTCTCTACTAAAAATACAAAAAAAAATTAGCTGGGTGTGATCGTGCATGCCTGTAATCCCAGCTACTTGGGAAGCTGAGGCAGGAGAATCACTTGAACCCAGGAGGCGGAGGTTGTGGTCAGCCAAGATCATGCCATTGTGCTCCAGCCTGGGTGACAGGCTCTGTCCCAACCAAAACGCACAGTGGGGCATCTGCTGGCCGGAGCATGTGAGGCTATAGGGGCCTTCACTACTGAGCAGCAGCACCAGAGCTTCCCTGCACTGTGGCTTTGGGATTGTCCAGCCTTCAACCTTTCAAGAAAAGCCTGAAATAACTTTTTTAAAACAAAATCTGATTTTTAAATGTCAGCAGCTCAAATGCTTTAATTACCATATAGGCTTCCAGTCTTTCTCCTTAGATAGGTTCACCCTCATACTTTAACCAAAGGGGTAAGTTGGTCACCAGTAGCTCCCAGACTACTACCCAAGAACCCAGGCCACTTACACGTCTATTCACCAAATGGCTGCTTTTCGATCAAGAGGAGCTGGGGGGCTTCGATAAAGGCTGCTGATAAACCCAAGACTTGGAAGGCTTTCTTTCCAACATGGGAAGTTTCCTGACCAGTGGCTGCAGAATTCCAACATTAAATACATAGACATTGTTTTTATTCTCCTGAGTTTTCATTCTCATTAAGAGAGACCCTGGTGAGACTAGAAGCAAAAAAAAGAAAATCACCTAACTCTTCCAAACTCTGGCTCCTGGAGAAGCTGAGGTGGGAATAAGCAGGTCACCAGCCCATATCACCTTCCACCCGCAGCCTGCCTGAAATATGTCCCCATGTTGGTAGAACGAAGGCGGGTGTCGGGGTGGGTCCCTGTACTTATCTTGTTGACAAACTACCCTTTTTGCAACCAGCTGATGAACTCAGTGAACACGCTGGACAGGGGCGTCCTCAACCAGCTACACATACAGCTCATGGGGCTGAGGAGCTGCAAGGGTTACAAGCAGTGTAACCCCTGGACTCGAGACATGGACCTGGGTAAGTAGGCACCCCAACATGGGGCCTGTGGAGAGCAGGGACTCAGGAGGTGGTGTCTACCCCAAAAATGAGCCCGAAATGCCTAGGCTTTGGGAGGTGATACAGATCCAGACAAGACATGGGCGCCCCTGTCCATAGCAGCCAGATGGCCTTTGACAAGCTGTGCTTCCTGAGAGGAACGCCTGCACCACCGGCCCAGGAGGCACATGGATTTCCCTCTCATTTCATTTTCTCCCTTTTGTTCACTCATGCTGCATTCAACAAACATTTACTGAGGACTTACACCTGAACCCATGTTAACTGAAAGTGACCCCGACCTCCCTGATTCAGGTGGAGCTGGCGTTCTCCTAGGAAGAGCAGTCTTGCTTGTCTGGACAGTCTAACCGGATGGTATCATCCAATATGACTGGGCAAGGGCCCCATTAAATAGAGCCAAATGTTTGTTGTGTGCCCAGCTCTGTGCTGAGTGTTTATCTGATAAGTCTTTGAAGTGAGTCGTCCTATCATTTTATGGAGGAGTAAAGTGAACAAGGTGGGCTGACTCCAGAGCCCACGCACTTGATCCTGCCCCATCCTCAGGAAACCCTCCCAGGGAGGAGGGAACTCCCTCCTGCACTTGTCAGGGCTCTGGGCTTTCTGTCCCCTGGAGCATAGACGTTCAGGCCCATGTCCACCTCCCTCACCATGACTATGGTCAACAATGAATGAAGCCATCAGGGTCCTGAAACTCATAGGGTGACCCCAGATTGTGGGCAATGCTAGGAAGACTTCAGGTGGAGTTCCGTCGTAATTCAGTCTACTCTGAATAGGGAACACCATCAACGTCATGGGACTGTGACAAAAAAGCCGAAGATGGTTTTCTGGTTTTTTGGGTGGTTTTGCCTAAACTATCTGCTCCTGTTTTTTCATTTTCTCCTTCAATTAGGACTTAAAGGTAGAAGAGGCTACGAGCAATACAGGTATTTCATTTTATTATTAAAGCCTAAACCAAGTTCTTACATCTTGGCCCATCCTTCGGTCTCATTTCTGTGAGGCTGCACCTGTTGAGAAACTTCCCTTCCTCTGGTATGCCCAGGATCATGCACCAAAGATAGCTGTCACCTAGGAAACTTTCTTTGTATAGTTCTTTGGGGACAACTTTTTCTTTCTTGGTGATGGTTTTTTCATTCATTCTCCTTTTGACACTTGAAAACTTAGGATGGTTCAGCGTCGGAAGTGGCCAGGAATGAGAAGACCTTCTTCCAGATCACTGTGAGTTGAGGAACCGGCTTACAAATAGAGATCTGGTTCTGACTGCTTCATTTTGCCAATGCTATTCTACATGCATGCCATTTCTACTTATCACCCTTCATTTGTTCCCATGATGAGGGTGGTGGGGGGAGGAGTACTAATGTAAGTCTTTCCCTAAGAAAACACGTGAATCCATTTCGGGTTTTAGATCAACGCCTTGTCCAGTACACTACTGTTCTCACTATAGTCTGTGTTTGGGAAACTCGAGCTGTTACTTAGAGTTGAGAAGCATTTAAATATTATAAATTGCCAGGCATCTTGAAGGCTATGGCTGCAAAAGTGCTAACTGGTACACAACATCAGCGGTAGGATGGCCTCATTAAATGGTTTCCAGAAAGCCCAGGCTACAAACTCTCACTCCAGTGCCATTGGAGGCTGGCAGGCACTAAGAGACTGGCAACCTGGAAAGGTCACCTCTATTCTAAGGGAGCAGGCCAGTTTGTTCCCTGCAGGAATGGGCTGAGGTTTGCAAGATTTTCTCATTCATCAAGCACATCCAAAGGTGCAGGTATGTGTGAGAACTCTTTAACATGGTCATCTAATTTGACATTAAGTTAACCATGTGGACAAACAGTCCCCCTTGGTGAGCTGCTGTTTGCAACCTCCGGTCTACTCATTTCTTCCTTGATGTGCAGATAAACCTATGTGGCTTTCACAGGACATGAGTTAACAGGCCAGCTAAGGCTTTCTCTGGTACTTCTAGAATTAAGGTACAGAATCTTTACATATCACAACCTCCTTAGCCACTATTCTAATAGATCCTTCAATGCCATTCTTGCCAGGCATTGAATATTTAAGTAAACTACCAAAAACTGAGATGATTGGGTGGTAGCAATCACTTTCTTAGTAACCTAGAAATATTCATTCTCAGCAGCCACATCCTTGAAGCAAAGCTTCCTCATCTATAGCACTGATTAGGAAGTCATGCTAAAGACGATGGTAACTAAATGCTAAGATGAGTTTGTTTGTTCTTCAGGGGACGACTGTGGGAAGGCTGGGAAGGTTAAGAAACAACAGAGGTGGACCTCCAAAAACAGAGGCGCCACCTGACTGCACAGGCAACGAAAAAACATGTGGGTGATTTCCAGCAGGCCTCTGCTGTTGGTCAGGAGGCCTGAGAAAGCAAGCACTCACTCTCAGCCAACATGACAGATTCTGGAGGATAACCAGCAGGAGCAGAGAGAACGTCAGGAAGTCTATTTTTGCCCCTGTTTTTGCTTTGGATTATACCTCACCAGCTGCACAAAATGCATTTTTTCCTATCAAAAAGTCACCACTAACCTTCCCCTAGAAGCTCACAAAAGAAAATGAAGACAGTGAGAGATTTCCTTGGAAATTGGAATTTTTAAATCATAGGGGAAAAACAGTCCTGTTCTAAATCCTCTTATTCTTTGGGTTTATCACAAAGAAGGAACTAAGACGCAGGACAGAGGCAACGTGGAGAGGCTGAGAACAGTGCAGAGAGTCTGACAGTGAGTCAGTAGCACAAAAGAGATGACACTTAGCACTATAAACCCTGGTTGCCTCTGAAGAAGCTGCCTTCACTGTATATATGTGACTATTTACATGTAACCAACATGGGAACTTTTAGGGGAACCTAATAAGAAATCCCAATTTTCAGGAGTGGTGGTGTCAATAAACGCTCTGTGGCCAGTGTAAAAGAAAATCCCTCGCAGTTGTGGACATTTCTGTTCCTGTCCAGATACCATTTCTCCTAGTATTTCTTTGTTATGTTCCAGAACTGATGTTTTTTTAAGGTACTGAAGTTGATGTATGTCCCAAGTTTTGATGAAACTGTATTTGTAAAAAAAAAAATTTGTAGTGTAAGTATTGTCATACAATGTTCAAAACTCCAGCCAATGACCAGCAGTTGGTATGAAGAAACCTTTGACATTTTGTAAAAGGCCATTTCTTGGGAGTTTTTGGTGTGTGTGTTTTTTTTTTTTTTTTTTTTTTTTTTAAGTATTCAAGATACTGCCAGTCAACACCTTTTTTGGAAGAAAATGCCTTGGGTTTAGAACATTTTTTTAAAAGCGGAGTAGATGGTTGTAGATTAATGACTAAAGTCTACCATATTTCAAGGGACTTCACAGGTAAGTCTCATACCGGCAACTTTGGGACTTTTTAAAAAAATATTAATTGCAAAGCAATTCACCTTAGCCAACCCTTCTTTGTGTATCAGGTAGCGTAACCTGATACAAGTAGTTGTCAGATTTCCAGAATGGGGAAAGTAGAAACTACCACCAGTGCAACCCATTTCTCATTAATACATGACAGATGATAATCCCCAAAGTACTCACATTTTTTTCAATGCCCCACATTAGGCCAACACTCCCTAGCAGCGCCCTAAGCTGTGCTTTTAACCTCTCAAACGTATGTTACCATTATTTGAAACAGGCTTCCTTAACCTGTTTTACACTTAATCCAACAGGGATATTTTTTAAAAAATGCTCTTTAGGCTCCAATTTTAAATAGAAACCTTTATTTACAATGACATCCAAAATGGTCAGCAAAGCAGTCGAAGCTTACCATCCCCCATAAGTCATTCATGTGGTTTCGATTCTTTGCAGGATAAAGAATTTTTTTTTTTTTTTAAAGTAACACAATGTAAACTTGATGATTGAAACTGAATTCATTCTCAAGAGTCTAAGTCAATTCCTGAGAATTTAAATATTGCTCTCAGAATGACATTTCCATCTTCTTTGAAATTCCATGTATTAGAGGGAGAGAAAACACCCTGCTCGTCTGTATCAACAAGTGTGCCTTGGAGTTGAAGACAACTCTTGTTCCTCTGATTACATCAATCCTTGAGGTTTTGCTCTTATGAACCTCCTAATTGTGAACAAAACTCACAGCTTCTGCAAATAAAAAGGAACTGGGCAGTTACACATGTAACCAGCAATCCATTCTGTTCACCTTCAGCTGCCTCTACCTCTGGACCAAAGAACTTTTAGGACATCAAGCCAATTATCTTCTGTAATACCCGACCCCTAATACAGACACCCCCCAACTCACCTTAGCTATTAAATACTGATAAACTAAGTAGCACTGTTGTTGATATGTACACCTTTCAATCCAGATGTAGTTTAGCAAAGTGGCATCATAATATGAACATCAACAATGTAACTTCCATTTATTTTTTAAAGGAAGAAACATGTATCTCCTTTATATCATTCTGATCTTTATAAAATATATATTTTATTTATATATCTTTGGATTCAGCAAAAAAAAAAGTAGGTACTGGAAATATCCCACATTCTAAAAGCAGATGAAAAGAACAGATACCAAGGTTTGAAAAAATGGGGGGTGCAGGGGTGTGAAGAGAGGTAGACAGCAGGAGTACAAAGAATTATCTAAAAAAGGTAAAGGGCAATACAGGTAAAAACAAATTATCTCAAAGACTGCACCTAGTAAAAGAAATCAAAATCTTGAGTTTGCACCAATCAAATGAACAAGTAGAAAATATAAAAACTTATAATAAACTTCATTTTTCCACTATATAAAAAAGGGAGTGCTGCCTTCCAGTAAGCCTGGAGCCAGGTTTAAGGAAAGAATTTTTTATAGTCAAGAAAGGTAAGAGCACCACTCTATTTCTCCCCACACACATAACTTAAAGAAGGTTCAGACACAATTGAGCTGAAATACATGAGACAGACTAACTCGGCTGTGCCTCTGTCTCCACACAGGAGCACATACCATCTGGAAATCGCAGGCCACTACCATGGAAGTTTTGGGATTTACATTCTTAGATATAGTTTGAACTTGGTGGGGGGAAGAAGGCAAACTCATAATTGTCTACACTGTTTTGAAAATCCACTCTAGTGGTGGGTCTGGAAATACCAGGATTCACTTATTTGTAAGCATATCAAAGATATTAAATGATCTTACCTTCAGAGACATCTAGAAAGACTGGCTAAACGTGGAAATTTTTTTAAAAAATTAATGGCTCTCAGTTATTGCTAGAAAATGACACCAAGGCTAGCAGAGACCTTTGAAATTCATAGACATTCAAAAACCCAGTTCCTTCAACTATTCGAACCAAATGAAGTACCCCAGATAAAGGGAATTAAATTTGGTTTTTCCCTTACTCCCAACTGACTAAAATAGGTGTCAAAGGGAGGCAAGAGCAGAAAGTGGCCTGGGGCAGAAGAGGGAGGGGTTTAAAAGGTACTCAATTAGACTGTGGCTCTCAATCACAGTAAAACCGACTGTTCTGGGTACTGAGTTCCTTAAGAAATAACAGTGACCCTATTCTAATTCACAGGGATATTATGAAAGTATCACATTAGTAGAATGAGGGACAGCTGAGCAGACACCAGAACCCACACCAAGATTCTACTGGAGATCTCTGTGTGGGATTCAGGTCTTAGAAACCAAAATCCAAGAACACTCCTAAAGGGGATGAAAAGGTAATATAACTGAACACACACAAACAAATCCCATGAATTGCTGCTATTTAACTTACGGACTGCTTAAAATCCAAAAGATTTTCTTTTCAATCAAATTGCTTAATTTTTTTGAATTCCTGATACCTTTTCTTTTTTTATTTCCCTGTATCTATTCTTTCCCCCCAAATTAACAAAGTGCTTAGTTCTGGTAGAGGAATTTTTTAAAAATTTAAATGCCTACATCTAAACAAATCTCTTTAAAAAGGACTTATATGAAGAGATTGAAAGAGTGAGACATCTAAGGCTGGGGGCTGGGGAAGGAAAAGCTGTGGAGCACCATCCCTCCCCCAGGCCACGAAAGTCAAAGGATGTCTCTTCCATTGGTAGCCTCACCACACAGCTTACTGAAATCAACAATGTTAAATATTTTGCTTCACAAACTCTGTAAAAATGAGTTGTTGTGACCTACAAAAAAGGTATATACATATTTTACATAATACAATATCTTAAAGGTCGTATTTACACACACCAAAAAAAATCTATTCACAGAAACACTGCGAGATTCTGATTCAGAATGCAGTACCTGGCCTTGGGTTTTCAGAAGTTTATTTTCAAAAAGCATTATTGCTCTACCATATAGGCAAAGGGTAACACCAGTACTTAAAAAAAAATTCATAGTTCTTGTCCAACACATAAGTGTAGGCAAAAACCAGGAATGTGTGTCACTATTCCCTCAAGACCTCAAGAACATTGCATTTATCCATTACTTTTTAAATAAAGTGCACTCCGCTGCACATTAGCATGTGAAAAGTTTGCTTCTGCTGCAATTAATACTGTCATCTCATTTTCCCTTCTGCAAAGCCATTGGACATCAATGACAGTTCCTGGAGGTGAAGTATTACAGGACATGAGCGGTAAATGAAAACCATTAGGAGAAAGCCTAGGACAACAAATAATAGGGAAAGAGCAACTCAACAGCATCAGGGAAGGACAATTCAGAATCACCAATTCCACTGGACAAAGGGTCAACAGAACTACTTGGTAGTGACAAAAACACTTGAAGGCTGGGACTGTGCTCTTAGTCCAGTACTGCAACTAGCAAAAGCAGATGTTCTCATCTCTCGAGATTCTTCCAGTGTTCTCTGACCCACCTACATGGATTTAAAAGACTTTGGCTAGCAAGGCAGAAAAAAGTGACAAAACTTTTATGATCAGTAACACGCCACATTTCCAGAATTATATCCCTAGGAGGTGGAATGCCAAAAACATTTCTGTTTTGAACACCATAATACATAGGAGGGCAGGGGGAAATAGGTAGATATTGCAGTTCGGCTTAAAATCCAGTCCTGCTCAAATGACATCAGTTAAAATGCCCTTGACAGAGCTTTCTTCAAAAATGGATGCCCGGAACATGGTATCTTCCCAAAAATCCTAGTGCAGTGTCATTTGTACAGTGGTTTCCTTAGAAGTCCTGGTGCAGAGATGTCAGCAGTATTTCTGTTAGCAACCAGAAAAAAGCTGAGTTTTAAACACATGCTTTGCACAACAAAAAAATGTCCATGTCCACATTCATGGTTTTTCAGGTTCCTTAGATCCCATATTACCAAAAGTATCTAATGGCCCATGGGTTTTTTTAATTACTGTAGTTTTAAGTTATACATTCAAGTTAAAATATACCTAGGACCTTTTGATTATAGCTGAGGCTTTGGTTCTAACCACAGAACAAGACAAACTTTTTGAAAATGGTAAGGAACAGACCCCATACCTGATCAGGACCCATAGGCATGCCAGACATGGGCATGGGGTTCATGTTCATTGGCCCCATGTGGCTGCTGCTGCCGTTCACGTGCACCATACTATACATTGCAGGATTCCCCTGGTGGGCAAACTGCTGCTGGGAAAAGGAGCTGTGAAGAAACTATAATGTTACCTCTGGAAGGCATTTTGGCGACAAAGGGCATGCCCACAGAAACTATCACAATTGTGCCAAACATTGCTATACTTAAGCTGGGAATGTCAGAGAGAAAACTCCCTGACAGCCTGTGATCCATTTTTCACAGCTTTCTGTACTCAATACCCTAATAGATACATGAAGGGTATGAAGGACTCTCAAAATGGACAAGCCAAAGAACACATCTAATATGAACCCAGTCCTTTCAATCTCTCCATCCAAAAAAGCTTGACTGAAAAATACAGTAGTTCTTGGACTTCTGGGACTAGGATGTGACTCACTTTAGAAGTCACTGTTCTTTACCTGTTCCTGGCCAAACTTCCTGAAGGCCAGCCCTTCATTTCTGAGGACTGATACATGGATGCAGCCTGGGGGTGTTGCATCATGGGATTCTGGGAGGGACCCATTCTTGACGACATCATTGCATTGGGAGGACTAGATACTCGACCAAAGGCTGGATCTGGTTGTTGTCCCATTCCTTACAAAAACAAAGAAAAAAGAAATAAAAATGCCCAAATGTCTTCTCCTTAAAATATCAGATTTCTGCAGTAACTTTTTTTTTTTTTAAGGGGAGTGGAGGGAAGTGGTAAGTATAAGATACAGAGTACTGTAAGATGCTGCCCCCCAAGTTATTCTAGATTCTCACCAAGATGACAACTAGAGTAACAGGCTTACTACAGAAAGGAGCACCATATCTAGATCACTGAACGGTTACTTGCTTCAATGGGCTTTCTGTAGAAAAGAGACTCCTTATCACTCAGCTCACATCATTCTGTCCCTCTTTAAAGTACAGGGGAGTTATAATCTTCAGAGGACAGGGCTCCCCAATAGACACCTTTATCCCCACCATGTTCCTGGAACCTTCCAAAGGCTGAACTGAAGAGGTATCTGCATTACTGTAATTAATAAATCCAAGTCACCAAGAAAATCAACTTAAAAGCCCACAAAATATATTCCTCTCACTGACTTGACCAAGCATTCAGAGATTAGAGAATTCTACTATACTGGAACATATATGAAGGAGCAAGGGAACAGTTCTGCTGTGTTTCTTCCAAATTAAGAGTTTGGAGACTCTTAATAAGTGGGACTGCCTGGGCGCAGTGGCTCACTCCTGTAATCCCAACACTTTGGGAGGCTGAGGCAGGTGGATCATGAGGTCAAGAGATCGAGACCATCCTGGTCAACTTGGTGAGACCCCATCTCTACTAAAACTACAAAAAATTAGCTGGGCATGGTGGCGCGCGCCTGTAATCCCAGTTACTCAGGAGGCTGAGGCAGGAGAATTGTTTGAACCCAGGAGGCGGAGGTTGCCGTGAGCCGAGATAGCGCCATTGCACTCCAGCCTGGGTAACAAGAGCGAAACTCCATCTCAAAAAAAAAAAAAAAAAAAAAAAAAAATTGAGGTGCAGTGAGCTGAGATCGCAACATTGCACTCCAGCCTGGACAACAAGAGCGAAACTCCATCTCCAAAAAAAAAAAGTGGGACTGAAAAAAATACTCAACTATGGCAGGACACACCTGCCTCAATTACCTGTGTGCTACAGCATCTTTGTTTTCCAATAGTTTAAATTAATTTGGTTTTTCTTGTGAAGTAAACAGGGAGTGAATAGTATTTTTGTTTGTCATGTTCAACAGATGTAGTGAAGCTTATGTCCTTAGTAATGTTAACTTAGGGAAGCCATATTTTCACTATCAGATTTACCATAATTTGGTTGATATGTAAACTGCTGTGGTGGAGCTTGTGGCATTGCAGGTCCAGCCAAAAGCCCATCCATGCTGGGGGAAGCAGTCACATTAGGAGGTGGGCTGAAGGCCTGGGTTTGCTGCTGCTGCTGCTGCTGTTGCTGCTGCTGTTGTTGTTGCTGCTGCTGCTGCTGCTGCATCATCATAGCCACCCTCTGTTGTCGGAAGTGATGACTTAGCAGCTCTCTGCTGCGTTGGGCAACCATTTGGGCATTAAGAAAACCCTGCTAATACCCAAGGAAGAGTGCAATTACATATACATATAGCAAGAACCTGCCAGTTAAATGCATGTAGTACTCCCACAATACCACGAGGTGTAAGACAAAACACCCAGTGCCTTTTTTTTTTTCCACAAAGGGAAAGAAAAAAAAAAAATTTTTTTTTAAACAGGGTCTCACTGTGTTGCCCAGGCTGGAGTACTGTGGCACGATCTCAGCTCACTGCAACCTTCGTCTCCTGCATTCAAGTGATTTTCCTGCCTCAGCCTCCCAAGTAGCTGGGATTACAGGCATGCACCAACACTCCCGGCTCATTTTTGTATTTTTAGTAGAGATGGTGCTTCGCCATGTTAGCCAGACTGGTCTCAAACTCCTAACCTGAGGTGATTCGCCCGCCTCAGCCTCCCAAAGTGCTAGGATTACAGGCGTGAGCCACTGCACCGGCCAAAATATACAATTCTTTACATAAAACCTTTCTGACCAGGTGAGGTAGCTCACACCTGTAATCCCAGCAATTTGGGAGGCCGAGGGGCGGGCAGATCACTTGGTCAGGAGGTTTGAGACCAGCCTGGCCAAAATGGTGAAACCCTGTCGCTACTAAAAATATAAAAACAAGCCAGGTGTGGTGGGATTGCAGAAGTGTCTATAATCTCAGCTACTCAGGAGGTTAAGGCAGGAGAATCCCTTGGACCTAGGGAGTGGAAGCTACAGTGAGCCGAGATCGTGCCACTGCACTCCAGCCTGGACAAGAGACTGTCTTTTTAAAATTAAAAAAAATAAATTAAAAAAAAAAAAAGCTTTCTGGCTATTGCAGGGGGAGGGGAAGAACTGAAGAAGAGGTACCTGAAAATTATTTAAGATTAGAAGACAAAAGATAACACACTGTCAAGCTTTAACATGGCTAGAAACACTGCATGAAGTTAGAGAACATTTAGGGGTGGAATCTGAGGACAAATAACTATGAAAGAAAAATATAGGAAAATGAGGATTCAGTGTGTTGGGGTGGTGGAGAGATGAAAGAAGCCAAAAAATAAAAAAGATGAGGTTATACTCAGATAAGCAAGGGTCCACCTCTGAAAATCTTGCACTTTCTTTAAACTTTCAGAAAGAGGGGCAAGGAGAAGCTGTCTGGAGGTTCAGAAGGTGACGTAACCAAAGTACAGCAAAGAAACTATACTGGGCTCCACCAGCTGTGGATCATCTCCAAAGAGCAAACTTTTACCTTCTTTTTGTAGGGCATTCTAGCTCAGCTGACGAAGATATTTTATTATCAAGATCATATAAATATCAGTACTTCCAAATAAGCATAAGACAATGAAAATCAAGCATTTCACAGTTGTTAATTTTTAAAAAAACAATTACGAACAATATTTTGAATCACAGGAGAGGATTGCTGTGTGGTCATCTGCCTCATGCACATTAAGAAAACCCCTCAGTACTATCTCCACCACTGGCTGGAAGTGGAAAGGAATTTTAATATTCTACTTCAGGAAACAGGTCATCTCAGAGGCTATCACTAAGAACATGATTATGTATTCTTTATTTTCTTCTTCATAATCTCAGAGTGTTACCCAGTGAGCACGTTGTTTCATAATCCAGGAACAGAGGAACATTTACAGATTTATTATTTTAAATTCCTAAAAAGCCAAGTGATAGCAACTAATCACAAGGGGAACCAATTTAAAAAACACTAATCAATGGTTTTAATAAAGAAACCTCTCCCTTCTCTGATTCCTCCCAGTCACCAGCCAGAGAGAAGAATGGAAGAGCTGAAAAATCTTTAAAGCAACTGCTTTCTTATGTAAGAAATTCAGAATTACCTTCATTTGTTTAACACACATTTACTGAGAGCCAACGACAGGCCAAGCCCTGTGCTGGGCACAGAGCAATGTATGTGGAGAGGCTCATCATCCTCACCTGGGAGCTCACCTGGGGCTGCATCATAGGCCTCATCACCGCAGCACCACCAGCAGTCGGGTTTTCCATTTTCAATTCAAGTGCCTGTCGGCTCTGATTCAAAAACTGAGGTGAGACAAGCTGGTCAGAATGCAAGTAGAGCATGTCAGTCTGCCAAAACAGCTTTCCAAACCCTCAACACCAGCCAATGAGGTAATGATATCTCCAAACACAATAACCTGGCTAAGTCACATCTAAACTAAACCAGTACTTTCACACTGCATAAAGGTCCATGTTAAAACGTCTTTGGCTAGCATAAGAAGGGCTATTGTTTGGCATTGGGAGAATAAAGTGAAATTTTGCATCTTAAACAGTACCTTCACACCTGTCATTCCAGCACTTTGAGAGGCTGAGGTGGGTAGATCACCTGAGCCCAAGAGTCTGAGACCAGACTGGGCAACATGGTGAATCCCATCTCTACAAAAAATACAAAGAATTAGCCAAGAGTGGTGGCATGCTCCTGTAGTCCCAGCTACCTGGGAGGCTGAGGTGAGGAGATCACCCGAGCCTGGGAGGTTGAGGCTGCAGTGAGCTGTGACTGCCCCACTGCATTCCACCCTGAGACCCTGTATCAAAAAATAATAAATTATATATACATATATACACACATACAACAGAAGCTCAAAAGATTTTAAAGCCAGGCTTTCTCTGGGATTATTCAGGCACAGGGGGAAATAGCTTTTACTTGATCAGAGTAATTCTGAATAATCTGCTTCCTCCATTAGCTTTCCCTAAATGACTTTGAGTGAAAAGAAACAGCAAAAAGTAAAATGAACCCATTAACACAGGTTTTCTGAGTACCTAAACTGACTTTTTTGGAATATTTATTCAATGGAGAGTCTCTGGATCTTTGGATTCCAAACTCAGGCATTTGGCTGCACACAGTGGCTCACGCCTGTAATCCTGGCACTTTGGGAGGCTGAGGCAGGAGGATCCTGAGGTCAGGAGTTGAGACCAGCCTGGCCAACATGGTGAAACCCTGTCTCTACTAAAAATACAACAACTAGCGGCACATGCCAGTAATCCCAGCTATTCGGGAGGCTGATGCACAAGAATCACTTGAATCCAGGACATGGAGGCTGCAGTGAGCCGAGATCTGCACTCCAGCCTGGGCAACTGAGCAAGACTCCATCTCAAAAAAAAAAAAAAAAAAAACCTCAAGCATTCATCTACTTTTATATGGTTTGGTTCCACCACATTTAGTAACTCAGTATGCTTAAGACACAAACAATAAAAACAATTTTAAAACATTTCTTGTGAACTAACAATAGGGTAAACAGAAGTCATATTTTAGAATATTAAAAGAGAGCTCTAGTTTTATAAAACATCTAGAAAGAAGAGATTCCATTAAAAATACTGAAATCAAGAAGGTTGAAGTATTTGGTTATTAGTATTAAGGATTTTTTCCTAAACAAAATTATCTGCCTTTAAGACTACAAAGTCAGCAAGTAACATTTTTCTTCCCCCAAGAGCAATCCTTCCTGACATTTTTCTTTTTAACCTGTACAATGGAATATTCTCATAGAAAGTACAGAATTCCAATACAACTACTCCTTAACAAGGAGACATTTGCACAAATAAAACCTTACAGAGAAGTAAAACAAAAAGAGTTTCTTTAGTTGACAAGGGATAGAGTACACTAGTGGTAAGAACTCTGAGAATAGTCTGAAAACCACAGAAGGAGAAGCCAGAGGGAAGAACACATGACTGTTACCTGCTGGCCCTGTAGCCTCTGCTGAAGCTGCATTCTAAGTTGCTTGGGGGTGTTTGTTCGGGGTCTCATGATGTTGGCTCGTGGGTGCATTCCTTGGAGAGGAAAATTGCCTTGCTGGTTCATCTGATTCATCATAGAGTTAAAAGATGGTGATTGTCCCTGAAGATGAAAGCCTCCTTGCATTGGAGGCCCCTGTGCTGGATACGTCTGTCCATATAATCCTGGCTTCTGATCCATCATTACTGCTGCTTCTTGGCCTTGGAAAGCATCCTGTTTGGGTTCTAAAGCCTGTCCCTTAAACAACACATAAATGAACAGTGAAGAATATCTATGAAAGCAACAGAAGTCAAATGCTGTAAAGAAGGTGAAAAAAATCCAGGCATTCAACAAGTATTTAAGTAAATGCTTGTTATGTGCCCAGCATCACTTCTCAACATGCTAAGGATATATTCAAAATAACATCCCAGAGGTGATAGAAAAAGAAGGAAAAAATAGATACTCTGAAGAAGAGAACAACCTGCTGTACTAAGACAAGAGCCTACTGGATACTGTGCATTCACCTTTATCTTCCCATCCACAGGCACTGAATGCCAAGCATGCAGCCAACACCCTTGATATGTCTCACTTGAAAGCATTCTTCACCCCATTGAACTTTGCAACACTTCTCATTTTTCTCCCGCCTCTCTGGTCTTTCCTTGAATAAATGCTAACCGTTCTTCAGGGTTCAGTCCTAGGCTCTCTTCTTTTCTCTTAATACATTTTCTACTTAGGTGCTCTCATCCACTGGTGATAATTATCACATTTTTGTCTCCAGCCAAAACATCTCTGAACTTTAAATTTTCTTTATAGAAATGCCTACTTAACATCTTCACCCTACTATCTCAGGTATCTCAAACTAAACAAGCAGAAAACAGACATCACGTCCTTTCCCAACAGCTCTTCCTCCCAAGAAGCCTTGTTCTCCTCCACCCTACCCTACTGTATCACAATACACAGCTGGCCCTCCATATCCATGGGTTCGACACTCATGGATTCAACAAACAGGGGACTGAAAACATTCTGGGGGAAGGAAACCGTGGCTGCACCTGTACTGAATACACACAGTCATCATTCTTCTTGTCATAATTGCCTAAACAATAGTGTAACAACTATGTAACATACATAGCATTTATACTGTATTAGGTATTATAAGTAATGTAGAGCTGATTTAAACTATATGGGAGAATGTGCATAGGCTATATGAAAATACTGTTTTATACAGTATCTGTTTTATATGCAAAGGCTGTTTTATACAAGGGACTTGAGCATCCACAGATACAGGTATCCACAGGAGTCCTGGAACCAATCCCCCACAGATACCAAGTGATGACGGTACACAACCTCACCATCCACTGCCCAGGAACTAAAACCCAGCAATCTAGATTCTTCACATTCTCCCCTTCCAAAAGTGCACGTGTGCTTGCATACACAGAGCAAGTCCTGTCAGGTTTTCCTCCAGGGCATATAACGTATCCCTCCCTTCTTTCCATTTCACCCTTATGACCATTCCCAGGACACCTCTTGGACTCTTGCAGTAACTGACACCTATGTTTCTACTTTGTCCCATCAACTTGGGTTCATGTGATCCTCCCACCTCAGCCTCCCCAGTAGCTGGGACTACAGGCACACACCATCATGCCTGGCTGAAGATAACAAAGCAAATCTTACTTTAACTTAAACGTGGCAGACTGATCAGGCATGTTTACCTGCATTCACTTGCTAACCCTACTAAAATGACAATAGAGGGAACTAGGAGGTATACAGTTTATTAAAAAAATAAAATAAATAAAAGGTAGTGCTTATCCACCAAACAATAAGGAAGGCAACAAGATCATGTATTTGAATATTTATAACAGAAGATACTAAGTAAATAGAGGAGTAGGAACCAGTGCCTATAAAAACTTAGACCTATGTGCCTACAGAGGAAAAATACATATGAAAAATGAGCAAATGTATCCCACAGACCTAATAAAACTCCAATGAGGGTGGTAGGGATCAGAGTATGGTACTAAAATGGAGAGGCTGGTTAGGAGTCTGAGTGCGGAGCAGGAGGTTAACCACCTCCCTGCCTGCTCCCTGACTCCTGAAGTGCCTGTACCTTTCTACCCCATAAAGGTACTGGGGTTCAGGGACACAAGCAGAGCAGAGCAAAGGAGTGAGGCAGAGGCTGAAAACAGGAAATTTTATATTTTGCATATTTATAATAAATTATAAAATATAAAATTTTATTAGACAATATCTCACACTTGCCTCCCTAACCCAGCTCCCAAAATGAAATCAGGTAATAAACGATTACCGGGGGTAGGGTTGGTAGTGGTGGTTGAAAACAACTCTACATGTTGAAATTCAGGAAATCCTGGCTGGGTGTGGTGGCTCACACCTGTAATCTCAGCACTTTGGGAGGCCGAGGAGAATCACAGGGTCAGGAGTTGGAGACCAGCCTAGCCAACATGGTGAAACCCTGTCTCTGCTAAAAATACAAAAAAAAAAAAAAATTAGCTGGGGTTGGTGCCACATGCCTACATGTAGTACCAGCTACTGGGGAGGCTGAGGCAGGAGAATCGCTTGAACCCAGGAGGCAGAGGTTGCAGTGAGCTGAGATCCCACCTCTGCACTCCAGCCTCAGCGACAGGGAGAAACTCCATCTCAAAAATAAATAAATAAAAATAAAATTTGGGGGAGTCCTGAAATAAAAGGGCTAAGGCTACCTCCCCACTTAATTACCCTCAGAAAAGGCAACTGATGCTCCTCACACTTGCAGAGTGTCAACTCAGCTTTTTAATGTCTCACTCTTTAAGAACAGTCACGGATCACCAGATAATAAAAGTTTCCAATGCTTTCCAAGCTTGAATGTGACTCAAACAAATCAAAGACAAGAACAACAGAGAAGACTTAAAAATACAGAATGAATTTAATGCCCAACATGTCAACAGAAATCCCAGAAAAGTTGGTCAGAAAAAAACCAGGAGAGATAAAGTAAAGAAATTATACCAGAAAACACTCCTAAACCAACGGGAGCATCTGTGCATCTCATATCCAGCAGAACAAACAGAAGAAGACCCATACCAAGATACAGCATCATAAAATTTCAGAGGAAAAAGGTTCCTAAATCACTCCAAAAAGAATAAACGAGTCACATGCAAAAGAATCAAAATCAGAATGGAACTATGAAAGAAATCTTTCAAAAATGTAAAAGAAAATTATTTTCAACCTAGAATGTAATACCTAGTCAGACATGCAGGAGGGTGGAATAAAGATATTTTCAGAAACACAAGAACCCAAAATATTTCATGCAGAAGGGATGAAGAAATTAATAGAAGTTATGTTGCAGCAAAACAAAGAAGTAAATCAAGATAGAAAGTAACTTGAGATTCAGGATACTATGAGTCCAACACAGGAGAACAGTGACAATTATTAATTTCAAGATTTGCCTCGCAAGGACACAGTAAAACAGAGAGAACTATAGGAGGGAAGCAAGGAATTGATGGATTATTTAATGTGCCTGAACAAGTAAAGAAGAAACAAAAAGAACTTTTATACTTCTATTGGGAGTATAAAATACGGCTCCTGGGTGCCAAGGTCCTAGGTCACCCTGAAGTTGTACACCAGGACTCCTCAGCGTTTCCCACCTATACTTTAAAATGTTCTGTGACAGCACTTACCACATGGCAGTATAGTTCTATATGCACACATCTATTTCCCCAACAACTGAGAGCCTCTGATGATCTCTCCTGCTTACTGTTGAATGCACAAACCTATACAGTGCCCCCCCTCTATAGTCTTTCAGTAAAAACAGTCATGGCCAGGTGCAATGGCTCACGCCTGTAATCCCAGCACTTTAGGAGGCCAAGACGGGTGGATCACTTGAGGTCAGGAGTTCGAGACCAGCCTACCCAACGTGGCAAAACCCTATCTCTCCTAAAAATACAAAAAATTAGCCAGGCATGGTGGTGGGCACCTGTAATCACAGATACTTGGGAAGCTGAGGCAGGAGAATCACTTGAACCATGGAGGTGGAGGCTGCAGTGAGCCGAGATTGTGCCAACGCACTCCAGCCTGGGCGACAGAGCAAGACTCAGTCACAACAACAACAAGAAGTCACTACAAAATGTGTTTTTCAGAAATACAGATTTGTGAATGACATGTTTTCATAAGGCTGGGTATATAATAGGAACAGGAGACAATGATGTTAGGATGCTCAGATTGGCCACTGTAAACAAGTGTTATTTAAACCAAAAAAAAAAAAAAAAGCTTGCCTCACCAGAATACACACTGCTTGGCTAAGTAGTAAAGACAGCTATAACAATGAGAACTTTTAACATGAATAAAAAGTTGCATTTTAAGAACAGTACAGTAGTTTCACTTAATCACTTCTACAACTGCCTAAAATAGTAAGTTGTTGAAAGCAGTATCACAATCATAAGTATAATTTCCATTTTGACATATGAATTGAGACCAAAAAAGGATATTTTCCAAATTTATTACTGGTATCCATGAATGTAGTGATATAACACAAGTACTAGGAAAGACACACACAGGCATTCTTGTTTGTGGCTTCATGTGTACACACACGTGCATTCACACACACACACACACACACACACACACTCTCCTGCTTCTATGTTAATGCAACCTACCTGATTGACAAGTTCAGGGATGCCTAAAGCTCTGTCAATTTCTTCCAGGCCTGTGGCATCTGTGTTGCTGAGAAGAGTGTGTAGCTGGTCCAGTAATGCTCTTTCATCACTCTGGCCTTCCAAGTTGGAAGGCGGCCCGACAAGATCATCCAGGGAATTCCTGAGAAGGGGCCTAGAAAGAGACTTGCAATCAATTTCAATAGTACTCCTCTCTTAAAAAAAAAAGTAACAGATTACAGCAACCATGCATAATATTTTTTAATGAACAGTAACTCAAATACTACAAATACCAATAATAAACCAGTGGTTAAAAAAAAAAAAAAAGTGAATGGCATCAATTAAAGTTTAAGGCCCACAATTTAAAAACTTCACGGGCCACTTTAGACCACCATAGACAGTTTAAACCCCCACCACCAAAATTTAATTGCTAAACCCTAGGCATTTGAGGTACAGCAAAAATGGGGACCAGGGGAGCACAGGTAAGGATGGGAGAAGATACCCTCAAGAAAATAATCAAGGAGGTAGTAATTATAATACCTGAAAATTAGGGAAATCAAAGGAAGTAAAAGAAAGGATAGAAATGCGCTATCACTGATTGAGTCTGGAGAAACGCCCAAAATAACTCTGTCGTACTTGCCCAGAGAGCTCATTATTGGCAGTGTAATACAAACCCCAGACACCCACAGCAAGTTGCCTCAGTTCTCCAACACATAAAAGGGCATGAAGCTAAACATTTATCCTGCCTCAGAAAAGTTCTGTTAACTTCAAACTATTTGCTCTCTACTGAGTAGAGAAGCATTCAAATAAATAAATTCATATAGTTACCTCACTGTCTGCTCAATAGGTTTAAGTTTATTTTTGTTTTCCTTGCTTAACTTAATGCAAAATTCTGGTTAAAGTTGACACTGACACTGTCGTCCTCTTGCATGCAAGTAAGTTACTAAGCTAAACAAAAACGAAATATAATCTGCAATCTTACTTTTATGAACATTTTAAAAGATGCACAGGCATTCTTGTATGTAGTTCTTTCACTATCATCACTGAAATGTTTAATTTTAGAAAACAATTGGCCAGTCCTTAAAAATGAATTTTCTCAACAGGCAGCAGGTAGTTGGGGGAGGAAAAAGTTTAGAAAAAAAGTTAATTCTTCTGGAAAATTGAGGCTAACCCTCCGAAGAACATTTCTAAAAGCACTAGAAACACATACTTATATGTTTTCCCCTCCTCATGGGACTTACATTATGAGAGACCATCACCTCACAGAGAGGCTCTCAGATGGCCACTGAATGGCCCTGATGGCTGGACAACATGGTCGTATCTACTCCCCATCCTGTGAATGCCACATGCACTGCTTACTGACTCAGCCTTATTTTTACACACAATTATATGAGAAAGGCCCAGCTGGCAACCAAATACCTCAATTACAGGGAATTCTCATTCTCTTTCACGTTTGGCTCCTATGCTCCAACTCTTTTCTAAACTACCAATGCAGAGATTTCTACAGAGTAACAAAATAAAGCCCCACCTATTTTGAGTGCCATGAGGAACTTGTTCCATGGACAACATGCCATCGGACCAGGAACCGAGTTGGTTAGATGATGCTGCCTGGCCATAGGGATTAGCCCCCATTCCCATGGGGATTTCACCAGGCCCTGAAGGAGCAAAAAGAAAGCACAAATTCTCGAATAAGAGCAAAAGTTATCCTGAAATATCCAATTTTCTTTTTACATAAAGGGGGAAAGAGGGAGACTTACTCATTTGAAGCATCTGCTGCTGCTGTTGCTGAGGCTGCAACATTGGTCTCACACCTGGTATGCTATTAGACCGAAGAGGCAACGTGGGCACAGAGCCACCCAGTGCAGCTCTGGGTAAAGACGTATTATAATCCCCTCCTGGTCTTCCCATGGAGTTTGAATTCATAGGTTCCATTCTGCTGGCCTTTGAGTTTGGTAAGCCCCAGTCTCCTGAGGAAGGAGTCTGAGTCACAGTCACATTTCTGTTTGGTCCACCTAAAACAGGTAGAGATACTTAGGTCTTTTGCATATTATAAAGAAATCCTTCTTATACCACATAAATACAGCCATTACACACATTATCAGCCTTGACAAAACAGCACTTTGTCATGGTAAGAGAAGGGCTAGCCAACTGTGGAGACACAGGCCACTATTCCCACATATTCAACAAGTTGGAAAATGTCATAGACCAAAAGACTCAAGAGTTTACATAACCAAGACATAGAATAAAAGGCTGGAAAATGTCATAAACCAAGACCCTTGAAGAGTTTACATAACCAAGACATAGAATAAATGAAGGATATTCATGGAAGAAACATACTTAGGTTATTCAAAAAGTTATTATTAACTCCCAATTACTTAGATGGCTTTAAGTATTTTAAATATGTCTTTCCAAAAATAACTCATAAATACTAATTAGAAATAACATACCCATACTTGAGCCATAATTTTCCTGACTATCCATCATTCTTGGATTCCCACCCAACATGGGTTGCTTTGGTAACATGGGGAAAGCACTGATATTTTTTACAGGAGGACTTGAGCCAACAGAAACAGGGCTATCCAGAGACACTGCTCGGTTATATGGAGGACGAACAGACTGCACAGACTGTGGATTTTTCAAACCTGTTGAAAACACAATGCAAAAATATTCCTTGGTGATTTAATACATAAATAATCAAGTAAAAAACACAAATACTACCACTCCCCATCCAAGAATGTCCTTCTTACAAAAACAAACACTGTCTTCCTTTACAAAATAAGTACCAGCCCCCACCTCCCACCCTCCCAAAAAAGGTCTCATATTCCAAATAAAGTAGAAACAACAATCTCTGTGTTGGCTAAAGTACTGAGAACTCTTCTGTAGCCTGATATGGTCACTGATATCCTGCTTCGCTTAATATTGAAAAATTCACAAATGCTCCAAACTTCTGAAGGTTCTTATATATTTGCTTATTAAGTATACTGTTTATAATTTTACAATAAACTTAACCAGATAAGTTGCCTTCTGATCAAAAAGAAATAAAATTGCCTTCTAACCTTTTTCCTCCCTACTCTATTCCAGCTTAGGAAATAATGCCACTGAAAATGAACAACGACCATTCTGAGTAACTGTGAATCCTGCCTTTTCAATTGATACATGTCTCTTTTTTTTTTTTTTTTTTTTTTTGAGATAGAGTCTGGCTCTGTCACACAGGCTGGAGTGTGGTAGCACGATCTTGGCTGACTGCAGCCTCCGCCTCCTAGGTTTAAGTGATTCTCCTGCCTTAGCCTCCAGGGTAGCTGGGGCCACAGTGTGGGCCTTTGTTAAATTGATGAAGAGGGGGCTAGATAAGAACTAGCAAACACCAAAGAAGAAAACTCTCTTAATTAAATGACAAGATTCTGTTAAGAACCAATAGACAGGTTTTAGTTAGAGTTTGAGTTGCCTTTCTTTTTTTTCTTGAGACAGAGTCTCACTCTGTTGCCAGGATGGAGTGCAGTGGTGCGATCTAAGCTTATTACAACCTCCGCCTCCTGGGTTCAAGAGATTCTCCTGCCTCAGCCTCCCAGGTAGCTAGCTGGGACTACAGGCGCACAACAACACACCCTGCTAGTTTTTGTATTTTTAGTAGAGATGCTGTTTCACTATGTTGGCCAGGATGGTCTCAATCTCTTGACCTCGTGATCTGCCTGCCTTGGCCTCCCAAAGTGCTGGGATTACAGGCATGAGCCACCGCACCCAGGTGGGTTGCTTTTTAAACCAATTCTCTGTGACTAAGAAAAATATATGCCCTAGTACCTACTCTACTCATCTGGAACAATCAAAGATGAACATTTTTCTGTAAGTGCCATGATTACTGGTATATTAGTTAGAAATGGGAAGTTTATTTAAAAGTAATTTTTTAAAAATAGGAAAATGTCGGCTGGGAGTGGTGGCTCACATCTGTAATCCCAGCACTTTGGGAGGCAGAGGCAGGTGGATCATGAGGTCAGGAGTTCAAGAGCAGCCTGGCCAATATGGTGAAACCCCATCTCTACTAAAAATACAAAAATTAGCCAAGTGTGGTGGTGTGCATCTGTAGTCCCAGCCACTCGGGAGGCTGACACAAAAGAATCCCTTAAACCTGGGAGGAGGAGGTTGCAGTGAGCTATGATCATGCCACTGCACTCCAGCCTGGGTGACAGAGCGAGACTTCGTCTCAAAAAAAAAAAAAAAAACAAAACAGGAAAATGTCCAAAAAGCTTTCTGAAGCACATACAATATAAATTAGTACAGAAAACAGAGGCAGAATATATGTTCTGAAAGCTACAAATGCTATTTATATCCCGGTCTCAGTGTTAAGAGTGTTTACAGGTATGCAGAAAAGTTTCAATGGCAGCAAAAACTAAACCTAGTTCCTTTCTTACCCAGAGAATTTGTTCCTTGAAACATCTGTTGCTTGGTCCCCAGATGACTACCATTTGTGGATACAGAATTATTATAAAAGTCAGAACTAGTCAGATCACCAAGAATAGCATCTAGATTATCCAAGTCTCCAGATCCCTGAAAATTAAAGTTTTAAAAATTAGCCTGTGTACATTACTAGACACATAAATATAAACATACCCATAAGAAAAAAACCACATATGAATAGAAGTAAAATACAAAAATTACCTACAAAGATAATGCCCAATTTAAAGGCCAGTTTATGATTACCCCCATCTCTAATCTTCCTCCTTGAAAGTACAAATAGTTTAAACTACTGAGATTAAATCACTAGATTTAGTCCTTTCCAAGGGGCATTTTTAAAATTTACACAAGACATTTAACTGCAGAATATTTTGCAAGTAACATTAGTCACTAGCAGTGCCTTGATAATTAGCTAACAGACATCTGCATCTATAAATACCTTCTGAAAACAAGTGTGTTAATAAAAGGGGCAAGTTGAGATATTCACAGGCATGCTCTAAAAGGGCTTTGGTCAATAAATGTGGCTCATAGTAGGTTAAGCCCAATCCTAACTTTAAGCTTTTCATTTGCTCAGGTGCATATTAAGTATCTCCTAGAAGTTTGCGAAGTACTTATACAGAATGTCACCTTGTACATGAAATTTGATCCTACCTTAAAATCAAAATTATGCTGCTTAATACAAGTTTTTTTTGTGATTACTTCTACCATTCTCTTAATGACCCAATGTACCCATTCCAGCAATAAACACCTCCTTAAAAATTTCAAATTGGCTACTACAGAGTTATAGTCACATTCTAAAACATACACATCTGTTATTTCCAAATTAAATCATAATACATTTGACTGGTGCCCAAAATAATTATAAAGAAATGACAGCTGAAGATTTGACTTCCTTTAAATAAACCTAAAATGGAAGAATTTGTATATCACATATTATCTTTCTAATACAGAAGAAAGATGAAATACAATGACTAAGCTGAAATATACAGAAAACAAATTACCTCTTCACTGGTTTCTGTCTTAATTTTAGGGTCTTTCTCTTGACTTGAGCTAGGAATGGTAGAGCTGGTACACTGACTCATTTTATTATCCACTCCTTCCACTTGGGGCTGTAGTTCTTTAGAGAGTGCATCACTAGGATCATCCCTGTCCAGCAGGTATCTAAGAAGTGCATTATTCTCCTTCTTCTTAGGACTCAGTTGCTCCTGCTTGACAACATTTCCGTCCCCACAAGAAGTTATACTGCTGGTGTCTTTCCCAGTGGCTTCTGCAGTAATCTTGGCTACTTCAGCTGGTGAATTCCCATTCTGCAGCAACTTGTGTAAAATCCGGTGCTTCTCTTGTAACAGTGACCCATGCATACTGGATGTGGAGGATACTCCTCCAGATGTTGAGGAGGAGACGCCAGAGGGGCTGGTAACACTAACAGAAGATTCTTTACAATTTGAATCTAGTGGGGAGTTGGTCAAAGAGGAATGACCCCGGTCATCAGATGAACAGGTAAGTAACTGCAGTAATTTTTTATGACCTTTGCTTTCCAAAGGACCCCTTTGATTCTCTGACCCCTCAACACTACTCTCCTTATTTTCTTTGTCACCGAGGTGATCTCTGCTATTTGACTGACACATTGAACTCTCCACTGGATTTTGGTCACAATAAAAGCCTAGGGGACTCTTGGAATCCTGACTGCTTACTTTACTTGGCTGGGTTATATTCATATTGGGAGAGTTATCCAATTTGGGGCCTGGTGATGACAGAGTAGATAAAAGAGAAGTCCCCACACCCTCACTGATGGCTTGCAGGGCACTGAGAGAGCTGCTGGAAAAGCTGTGGCTCCCAGTATTGCCAGAAGATCCCATGGGAGAGTGCACACCTGAATTGGAAAAAATTTAGGAAAAGAATTAGACTACCAGACACTGTAACAAAATACAACGTAATTCTTCAAAGTTTCTATTCATCTGTTTTAGAATAGAAACTTTGAAGAAGTTTATTTTTTTATATTCTTATTCTTTATAAGAATTACACTAGGATGGAAAGAAGAATTACTTAAAAAAAAAGGAAATGTCAACACAAATACCTGCAACAGGAGAAAACTGATGTGAGGCCATCTTTGGACTCCCACGATTACGAGGAGAAATCATGATATTCTGCTGGTTGGGGGCAAGACCAGGACTCCCATGTGGGGGGCTACTCATGTTGAGCCCATAGTTGTTGTTCTGGTAGGAAGATGGTGATTGCATGCCTGGCCCAGAGGTCACTGAAGCTATGTTACTGGAACCCCCGTACCTAGCTCCACTCATCTGCCCTGTGGTGCTAGGGTCTGCCAAGCCATAGGCCCTGCTGCTTGGCATCTGTAAGCCTTGGTTTGGTGACATACTCATGCCGCCTACTGAACTGTTGCATCCAGCCATAGGTGGTCTAATCCCTTGTCCAACAGGATTTGGGTTTGTTCTATATCCATTCTGTTCTCTGCAAAACAAACAGCAAACATTTACTAAAAAATTATAAGTATGCCTGAAAACAGCAAACATTTACTAAAAAATTATAAGTATGCCTGAAAACGGCCAGCCACAGTGGCTCACACCTATATTCCCAGCACTTTAGGAAGTCAAGGCAGGAGGATCACTTGAGCTCAGGAGTTAGAGAGCAGCCTGGGCAACATAGCAAGATCCTATCTTGCCAAAAAAAATTTAAAACTTAGCCAGGCATGGTGACATACATCTGCAGTCCTAGTCACTCAGGAGGCTGCAGTGAAGGATTGCCTGAGCCCAGGAATTCGAGGCTGCAGTGTGCTGGGATGGCACCACTGCATTCCAGCCTGGGTGACAGATCAAGGCCCTGTCTCTATTTAAAAAAAAAAAAGAGAGAGAGAGAAAAAAGGGATGAATTAACTACCCTGGAACTTATCTTTTTAGGCAGCATTCCAATACCTAGTGACAATTCCAATCTACATATTGATCAATTATTTACCTAATAACATATTTTTCAGTAAGCCACAGAATCTGTATGAGTGAGCCCACTGTAGTATTATGAAAGACCAACAGTTTGGTTAACTGGAGTATCAGATGGGCTTTATTAGAGTTGCCACATATATAGAGTTGCTTCACCTGGAGGTACCTGCAAATTACTCAAGATAATTAATGGGTAAATAGCCTCCCCTTCATGAGTTTCTTATTTGCCACTACCAACACCAACAGTAACTACCTTTAAAGTGTACCCTCAAATTTTAAATTCAGTCCCCAAAGCAACAGGCATCATCAGAAATGAAAGGTAAGACGTGTAATCAGATTTTATATGCTCTTTTATCCATCCATTAGCCTTCCCATCCCCTAGCTTTCCTGTAAAGTATTTAATAAATAATCACTTTCACATAAAAATACAACCTTAAACATATCATAATCTGAATCTAAACTCATTTCATCAAACCCAATAACCTTCCTGTGTTTTGACTCATTATTTTGTCCCTTCCCTTTTTACTTAAATAATAAAGCATTTTGAGAACACTGCTGCATTCAGTGTTAGAATACACAGTAATCTATCATTACCTCTGAAGAAAGTGGGTTGAAACAAAGCCATGTCGATCATTTGTTACGGGATTTCGGAAGAGTTTGCTTTTTGTCTGTGCAGTCACTATAGTTCCATCAGCCAATGAGAATCGATATACTGGGGTTTCTGCATGGCCATTAAGATAAGCTGTTGAGGAAAAGATCCCATCAGTAGTAACTACAGTCAGCAGAACAAATATATATATAGGAGGCATTAGGAAATATACTTCAAGTACAACATTTCTAAAAATCCAAGGAAAGACTGGATCTGCACCAAAATTATGAACAGGGTAAAAAAAGAACACTCAGGAATCATTTTCCTATCCCACACTGACAAAACAGCAACTACACTCATCATGTATATACCAAACATAATGACAAACAAGATCAAGAATAAACTCCAAAACCAGGTATGGTGGCATGCACCTGCAGCCCCAGCTACTCAGAAGCTGAGGCAGAAGGGATCACTTAAACCCAGGAGTTCGAGTCCAGCCTGGGCAACATAGCAAAGCCCTGTCTCTAAAGAATAAAATAAAACAAAAAGACAAAGAATCAACTCCAAAATTCTTTACCTTCTTGATAGTGACGTTTCTGGGACCATGACTGCCCATCATTTAGACTAAAAAATCTCTGAATACACCTTCGGATTATATCTTCAAAGCCAGGCCTCATGGAGGATCTCAGTGAATTTGTATCTATATTGACAACCTTTCCTAATTAAATGGAAAAAGGAAAAAAGATTTATATCCAGCCCACAAGTATTTACTGGCTGCCTACACATGGCTTAGAAAATAAAATAAAAATATGAAATCTTTGCTCCACCTTCTCTGATCCAAATTTCTACTATACTCAGAGCATTTCTCCTTAAGGACGTAGTACCACAGGATTCTCCCAACATGTTCTGCTATGGAGCATAATAAAAAATTTGGTCTTTGTCCAGATTTCTAGCACAGAGCTCCTATCTAAAATCCTCAGAATTTCCTGAGTAATAAAAGTATCTTCAGGTTATTCATAAAAAGACCCTCTGGAACAAACCTCAATTTGCACCAATGAGGTGACTTACTTAGGGTGAGGCCTCTAGATCACCTCAGGATGAAGCTGGTAATCAGAAAGACCAAGTAATAAAAGGATTAAAACTTTCTGTTAGTAGTTCCACCTATTAACCTTCAGGAATTGGGGGTGATGGAGAAAAGAGAGCCTGGTGATTAAACTCTATAAAAAATTATTGGCAGGGTGTGGTGGATCATGCCTGTAATCCCAGCACTTTGGGAGGCCAAGGAAGGCAGATCACAAGGTCAAGAGATCAAGACCAGCCTGGCCAACATGGTGAAACCCTGTCTCTACTAAAAAAATACAAAAATTAGCTGGGCATGGTTGGTGGCGCATGCCTGTAATCCCAGCTACTTGAAAGGCTGAGGCAGGAGAATCACTTGAACCTGGGAGGAAGTTGCAGTGAGCAGCGATTGTGCCACTGCACTATAACACCTATGAGGAAAACTGTTCAAAGAGATTCTATCCCTGCAACTATGAAGCAAGAGAAAATACCTGCTTAAAGAGCTAACAGGGACAATTGTTTGCATCTGAGAGATGATCCCATTTTTCAAAACTTAATACCTAAATTTGGAGAGTTAACCAAATACTCATTTCCTCAATGCTGGAAGCTTCTGACAACTTTTGCTTAATATCAAATACAGTGGAGACACAAACACATACTCAAAAATACTATGAAATTAAAGGAGGTTTCATGACAACAGATGGTCCTTAAAAAATGTCTAGGCCTTTTCACTCTAAGCAGCACTAGGGTGGCTGGCAAAAACAAGTGCCTCACAAAAAGTGGCAGAAGGGGAACAAAGAAGTGGCTGATCCATTTTCTAAAAAAGATTGGTATGATGTGAAAGCACTAGCTATGTTTAACGGGTAACAAACTAGTCAAAAGGGCTCAAGGAACCAAAACTGCATCTTATGGCCTAAAGAACTGTATTTTTGAAATGAAACTTGCTGATCTGCAAAACGAAGAAACTACCCCTTGGAAAATTCAGACTAATTACTGAGGATGTCCAGGTCAAAAACTATGTGACCAGCTTCCATGGCTGGTCTTGGATCAGCTTCCAAGCCTTTTCTATGTCTCTGAACACAGACAGATTGATCCAAGCCACGGAACATGGCCTGGACATCCTCAGTAATCTTTTCAGTGACAAAATATGCCCCACGGTTAAATGTGGCAAACTATGAAGCTCCTGCTGATGTCAAGATTGCTAATACTTACCTGTTTTGTCTGTTTTGTGTAGATTTAACTAAGAAATGCAATAATCAGATCTGGGCAATCTCTTATGCTCAGCACCAACAGATATGCCAAATCTGATGATAATGGAAGTTATGACCCAAAAGGGACAGACAAATAGGTTGAAAGAAGTGGGCAATAAACTGATTCTAGAGAAATTAGGAAAGACACAGAAAAGCTTGTCCATTTATTTATCCTTTCTATGACATATTCATTAGAAAAAGTAAAAATACTGAAGAAAACCAAGTTTGGTTTGGGAAAATTCATGGGGCTTCACAGTGAAAGGTAATTCTGGAAAAACTGTTGAAGATTTGAAAGGTGCTAGTATTGAACAAGCTGATAAAGATAAAACACCAGTCCAATATCTGTTTAAAAATCAGAATTTTAAGGGTGACCAAAAGTCTTATTAATGGCGGAAGGAGGCTAGGGAAAGGGGACAAACGCATTCCAGGAAACAGTAAATGCCTGTGCATTCGTGCCCAAAATAGAGCAGATTTGTCCTCAACCACCTACCCTAAGTTCAGCCCTGGGCCACATGACAAATACAAAATAGATGTTCATAAAAAGTTTATTAAATGAAACACATCAGGGAAAAAGAATAAAATATCTCCAGAGGTCACAAAAAAGTATCGTGTTGAGTGCAATAAGCCTCCTATAAAACAAGAGATACCCACTGGAAGGCATTAACTATAACTATGGTAAGATCTCAGTTTTAAATTATATTAATCACACAAAGCATTTGATTTTTCTTGCTTGGTCATTTTTTTCTTTATCATGTCCTGTTTTCTTTCATGTTTGGTAATTTTTAAATTTTGTAATAAACATGTATTGTTTATATATATACTATGAAATAATTTTCAAAGATGCTACTTGCTAAACTGCTTCAACATGTTTTCTTTAGTATTTTCAGTAACAAATGTAAAACAGGGCTATTCAAGGAGAAAATTTAAAATGCCAAACCATAAGAAGGGCAGAAATAGACCCCCTCTAAAAGAATAAAATAATATATAAAAATTGCTATCACTATGCTTATCTGAAGGTGAGCAAATGGAAAAAATGTTCAAATATAAAGTAATATCCATCAGCGTACACAGACTATACACTGAATTGTCAAAATAAGTCTTTGCTATTTTTTTTATTCTGTGAAAATTAATCTCAAGAAGTCTGAAAACAGGTAACTGAGGATGGCACAAAATGGTTGAATGACTGCAAAAATAGCAATATTTCTTTTTAAATATTCTGTATTATGTATATTAGATATACATATTACAAACATATACATGTATATACAACAGCTACAGCTATTTTTATGTTTATGTAAACCTACTCCATTTTATATCACTTGTTAAAGGTCCATATTGTAAAATTAGTGTTACACAAAGCAAAGAATACAGGCTAAGTCAAACTGACTTAGCTATAAATTTTCTTATTAGACATGATCTTGGACAGTAACCCAATCTCTGTCACCTCTGTTTCTTTATCGCTGAGATGGGGCATATATGACAAACCCTTGGCATCCCCATTTACAGTTAGGTGACCATAAGAGTAACCCTGAAGGTAAATAAAAATAATATTGCCACAGTATCTAACATCATTAATGCATCTTATCAACCACGATGTGTTTAATTTTTTATTTCTATGATAAAAAGTAGCAGACCAAGACTGAAACTCAGGTTGATGTCAAGAATTACTCCCAGCGAGGCACGATGGCTCACGACTGTAAGCCCAGCACTTTGGGAGACCAACATAGGCAGATCACTTGAGGTCAGGAGTTCAAGACCAGCCTGGCCTACATGGTGAAACCCCGCCTATCCTAAAAATACAAAAATTATCTGGGCATAGCACATGCCTGTAATCCCTGCTCGAGAAGCTGAGGCAGGAAAATCACTTGAACCCAAGAGGTGGAGGTTGCAGTGAGCCAAGACTGCAATAAGGCACACCTGCACTCCAGCCTGGGCAACAGAGCAAGACTCAATCTCAAAACAAAACAAGCAAACAAAAACAAGAAAAAAACTTCTCAATAATTCTTACTAAATTACCTGTTTTTTTTTTAACACGTTTATTTATGATAAATGGGCTTGAAGTTAAAGAAATACTAAATTCTGACCAAAAAAATCCCATTTGGAGAGAAAACCAGGTATCCCTAAACTTGTTTTTTTTTAACTTATTTGGGGGATTTAAGGTGCCAAACATACCCAGCTCAAATGCCAAGAGTTTTAGTGAAATCCTTTTAGGGTTGCATAAGAAACATGAAAAATGATACACGTAAAGCACTCACTACAACAGGTAAACATTTCTATGATAGCACAGATGAAAAATAGTTAACATTGACAAAAATTTCCAAAATAAAAATGTACGTACGTACACACACACACACACACGATTTTACCTGAAAGATCATGTCTGGTAATAAAACTCTCAGGGTTTGATGGATATACTCTTTCTCCTGTAGTAATGCGGCGTGCCACACAGATCATACAAGATTGCAAATCTACAATAAAAAATTCAGCCTGATAAGTATTATACTTAACTTTTGGATATGTATGTTCAATTGGCAAGCAAGAACACAGAAATCAGTAAGAAGAGTTTTAACAACATAAGTTACAAGTATGGCCCCCTATTTGTTTCATGAACATCAAAAACATATGATAGCTCTTACCTTCCCCTTCCTCCATCATAGCTCGTGGCTGAGACAGGGCAAAGCACTGCATTGTTTCATATCTCTGGCGCATTTCAGGACTGGTGTTTATGTCTTCCAAAATATCATGTGTTTTCATCAACATACGGCAATTGAATGTATGGCTTTTTTGTCTCTGGGTCTCATTTGTCCAGGAAACTCCATTAACTTTGGAAAACAAATTGAAATAACATTTTGAAAAGCTGGTAACTCAGTCTATGACCATCATCAAGAATTCAAGCTGCATTTTCTCATTATGCATGTTTTCCATAGTTGTATCTATACTAAACTTCAGGCTGGCACTATATAAAACATGTGAATAACAGAAATCTTACTGCCTATTTTGTAACTACACACACACACACGCCTCTTAAAATGTATACCAAATTATTAATTCACTGACTCCATATTTGAAAATTTTGCTATTAAATCACATGCCTTTCTATGCTCATTTGATCACCTGACTTCCTAAAAAATACATTGAATTTCCTAAGAAATGATCAAGGAAAAAAAAATTAACCTATTAGAAAATACACATTAAAAGTCTACCTGTAGATTTTGGTAAATTTTTAAGAAAATCCTTTCTGTCTTCTTCATGTAAGATATTGTAAACACTTGTGTTAACCAGGTCCTCTTGCTTATATTGCAGGTATTGTGTGACATTTTCTGACACAAATACAATGTTTCCATCTCGATTCACCACAAACAGGAAACCGTCCAGCGCCTAAAATAGCATACATTAATACAGGCTATTATGGACTGAATTGTATCCCCCTCCCCATAATTCTTAAATTCAAACTCTAACCATCAATGTAACTGTATTTAGAAACAAGACCTTCAAGGAGATAAATGAGGTCATAAGGGTAGGGACCCTAATCCAATATGACTGGTACCCTCCCTATGAGGGGAGAGGAAGACACCAGGTATGTGCATGCAGAGAAAAGGCCATGGGAGAACATTGTGACAAGGGGAATCCAATCCTGCCAAAACCTTGATCCTGAACTTCCAGCCTCCAAAACTGTAAGAAATAAATTTCTCTCCAGCTGGTTTAACCTACCTAGCTGTGGTATTTTGTTATGGCAGCATCAGCAAACAGCAGCCACAGGAGTAAGTACAATGTGTAAAAACTACTGCTGACTTAATTATTGCAAACAACTATAAGCCACCATTACTACTAACATTAGCACCATTTCTACATGCCTTGTTAATAAGAAGAATTGGGGGTGGGGGAGTGCACACATAAATGTGTTCAGCATGAAATCTGAATTAATGCCTAACCTAATTTTTAAAGAATTATATCTTCAAAGGAGATTTTTAAAATGAGAAAAGCATCCTTAGCTCTTCCCAGTTTCCCATTTGATGCCAAGTCAAGCTACAGAAACTGCTACACTATTCCTTAATGAGAATTTATAAAGAGGAATTTCAAAACTGATCAACTAAAAGTAGTTAGAACAAACTACCTGAAACAAAAAGAAGCTGACAAGTTACCTTTATGAAGGGCTTCAGCCCCTAAACAAATACAATGCATATTTTTTTTTCTGAGATAGAGTTTCATTCTTGCCTGGGCTGGAGTGCGACGGAACAATCTCAGCTCACTGTAACCTCCGCCTCCTGGGTTCAAGTGATTCTCCTGCCTCAGCCTCCCAAGTAGCTGGCATTACAGGCGCACACCACCACGCCCAACTAATTTTATACAATGCCCATTTTTAAGTCTTAACAGTTCCTCAAGTATAAAAAACTGCAGCGTGCCATATGATCAAAAAAAAATTTTTTTTAATGTGATCATGCAAAAATTCACCAAAAAATGTCAGAACTAAAACATACAGTCATCATATCCCAGTATCTATGGAAGATTGGTTCCCAGACCTCCCAAAGACAGCAAAATCCAAGGATGTTCAAGTCCCTCGTATGAAACAGTGTATTTGCATATAGCCTATGCATATATTCCAATACACGTTAAATCATCTCTAGATTACTTATAATACCTAATACAATGTAAATGCTATATAAAGTTGTCACACTGAAGTATTTTTTATTGCCTTAACATTATTTTTTATTTCTTTCCCCAGCCCCCAAATTTGTAGTGCAAAACCCATGGATATTAGGCCATTTGTACCCAAATATCTCTGAAATTATAGGTTAACCTTTCTTTCCTGCTTCTTTGTATTTTTATGTTTATATGTGTGTGGTTTCTCAGTTTGCAACTATATTTTTACTAGGGAGGCAAGGCTTCCTGAATTATGTATATTGTAAATACAAGAGCATTTTACCATCATATTCAGAATACTGAATTGTCTCAAAGAAAGAAATGTTTTCTTTTTCTTCTCATTTCCTGACCAAAATTTCATTTTTTGTAACTTTATAATAAACCAAAAGGCAACACAGCTTACTGGACAGTTAAAATTGTTTGCACTTGCCTGAAGTAACAGTGGTCCTAAAGAGTCTTTATCAATAACTCCCTGCCCTGTAGAAGACACATCAGCTTTCTGAACATCATCATCACTGGAAATAGTTTTTCCTGAAAAGACAGAAGGCAGTACAACAAATAGCACATTTATCAGTTATAGACTAAATCACCTTCAAATAGTCCCCAGAATAGACATAAAGATACACAGACACATGCCCCATATACATACAAAACATTTCCTCATAAGAAAATGATGCCTGAATTTTATAACATCAAAACTAAACTTCACAGTTACCCAGGAAGGCAGAAGACACCTAAATTGTTTCACTTCTAAATGCACTATCCACAGCTTCCTGAACGGGAACTAACAAATGACAGGGGCAAGGTGGAACAACACTGGCGTTTTCCAATTGTTTGTTAACCATTTCTAAAGGGTATACCTGGAGGCCCGGCACAGTGGCTCACACCTGTAATCCCAGCACTTTGGAAGGCTGAGGCAGGTGGATCACCTGAGGTCAGGAGTTTCGCCTGGCCAACATGGCAAAACCTTGTCTCTACTAAAAATACAAAAATTAGCTGGGCGTGGTGGCAGGTGCCTGTAATCCTTGCTACTCCAGAGGCCAGGGCAGGAGAATTTCTTGAACCCAGGAGGCAGAGGTTGCAGTGAGCCAAGATTGTGTCACTGCACTCCAGCCCAGGTGACAAAGCAAGACATCATCTCAAAATAAATAAACAAATGCACAGCTGGTCAACACATCTGTCTATTCCCATACTTGCTAGCCTCCATCAGTTGTACTCCCTACCCAAACAAAGGAGCAAAAAGGCAAATATAGGAGCAAGTTCCTTCTAAAACAGGGGTCCCCAACCCCCCAGGCCACAGCCAAAATCAGTTTGTGGCCTGTTAGGAACAGGGTCACACAGCAGGAGGTCAGCAGCAGGCAAGTGAGCAAAGCTGCATCTGTATTTATAACAGCCCCTCCACATCGCTCACATTACCACCCGAGTTCCATCTCCTGTCGGATCAGAAGTAGCATTAGATTCTCACAGAAGTGCAGACCCTAGTGTGAATTGCGCATGAGAGGAATCTAGGTTGTATGCTCCTTATAATTCTCTAATGCCTGATGATCTGTCACTTTCTCCCATCACCCCCCAGATGGACTCGTCTAGCTACAGGAAAACATGCTCAGGGCTCCCACTGATTCCTCATTATGGTGAATGGTATAATTACTTCATTATATGTTACAATGTAATAATAATAGAAATAAAGTGCACCATAAATGTAATGTGCTTGAATCATCCTGAAATCATCCCCCCTACCAGGTCCATGGAAAAACTGTCTTCCACAAAACCAGTCCCCGGTGCCAAAATGGCTGGGGACCACCACTGTTCTAAAAGACATTAGTGTTTTTATTACCTTGCTCTTTTATTTGACGTATCTGTCTTACTGTTTCCTTTAAAATCACACATTTATCTGGTTTGACATTGAAATTGTCAATATCACTAAGATTAGCAGATATCAGCTCAGCCAATTCTTCAATATATTTACTCTCCTGCTCCCGTCTCCGCTTTTCACCACTGCAAATAAGACTAAGGGAAAAGGGGTAGAAAAGGGGAAAGAGAGACATGATATACATATCACAAAAGAGCTGTCAGTGGAATCAGCCCCTATTGTTACTATTGTTTCTTATAGTGTAACTATAGAAAGTAACACTGTTACTTTTTTTGGGGGGGGTGGGAAGGGAGTTTCTTTCCCTCTTGTTGCCCAGGTTGGAGTACAATGGCCTATCTCAACTCAGTACAACCTTTGCCTCCCACATTCAGGCGATTCTCCTGCTTTAGCTTCCCGAGTAGCTGGGATTAGCTGGGATTACAGGCGTGTACTACCATGCCTTGCTAATTTTTGCATTTTTAGTAGAGACAGGTTTCACCCTGTTAGTCAAGCTGGTCTTGAACTCTGATCTCAGGTGATCCACCTGCCTGGGCTTCCCAAAGTGCTGGGATTACAGGCATGAGCCACTAGGCCCAGCCTATTACTTTCATATGTAAACAAACTAAACTCAGCCAACAGAAACTAAGGAAATGCTGTCTTGGAGAAATAGTACAACATAATAGAGATTCATGTAAACCTAAATTCAGTTCCACCTTTGTTAGCTAAGTCACCTTAGGCATAGTTAGCCTGTCTTCTAGTTCCTTCATCTAGAAAACAGAGATAAATCGGGCAGGCACAGTGGCTCACACCTGTAATCCCAGCACTTTGGGAGGCCAAGGCAGGCTTGAGACCAGCCTGACCAACATGGAGAAACCTCATCTCTACTAAAAGTACAAAATTAGGCAGGTGTCGTGGCGCATGCCTGTAATCCCAGCTACTCTGGAGGCTGAGGCAGAAGAATCACTTGAACCCGGGAGGTGGAGGTTGTGGTGAGTCGAGCTTGTGCCATTGCACTCCAGCCTGGGCAACAAGGGCAAAACTCTATTTCAAAAAAAAAAAAAAAAGAGAAAGAAAACAGATAAATCATCTTCACCTCTTAAAGATAAACTAACAAATAAGAACAAAAACAGTGGTAGCTACTTATAAATGATGAGGTTTTATTAATTGTAGTTTGTTATTTTTCAACTATCGCATTAAAGCTCAATTGACACTGACTTTGGAAATACTTTAAAAACTATGTAGTGTTACATAGCTTACATTATTTTGTTTCTAATTTTTAAGCTTCTCATTTCACTTAGTAAAAAAAGGATGCAACCTCACAAGTAACAAAATATCAACTGATTCTTAATCTTAAACTCATTATTAAAAGATACCAAAGAAAGATGGCTGGGCGTGATGGCTCACTCCTGTAATCTCAGCAATTTGGGAAGCCGAGGAGGGTGGATCACTGGAGGTCGGGAGTTCGAGACCAGCCTGACCAACATGGAGAAACCCCATCTCTACTAAAAATACAAAATTAGCTGGGCATCGTGGTGCATGCCTGTAATCTCAGCTACTCGGGAGGCTAAGGCAGGAGAATCCCTTGAACCTGTGAGGCGGAGGTTGCGGTGAGCCAACACTGCACCATTGCACTCCTACCTGGGCAACAACAGTGAAATTCCATCTCAAAAAAAAAAAAAAAAAAAAAAAAAAAAAAGATACCAAATATTCTTACTTATAATAACCTTGGTTATCTATTCATAACTCCTACTCCGCCTTCCATTCAGAAATTCTTATAGGACCATGAATTGTTAATAGTCTACCTTCTACCTGCATCAGCAATAAAAAAAAAAAAAAAAAAAAAAACTTCTATTACATCAGAAAGATGTCCATCTCATCAGTAACACTCTATTTACCACAAAGTGAAACCACAAAAAAAAAAATCTAACCAGAGAATGTAAATAACAAGAAGTTAAAATGTTATCCTTAAACAAAGGCAGAGAGAGGGGAACAAGTGTGGTAAAACATCCAGAAACAAATCACCTACCCTTGTCCTGGAGTATCACATGGCAATTTTCGTTTTCGTGAATCAGTGGCCAGTGGATCCAAGTTTTCTCCTAATCCACTCATCTTGAATATACATCGGCAACTAAGAAATATTAGAAATAAGCACATTAAAAAATATACATGATTCTATGAAGGTATGACTGAATGACTGCCTCTTGTAATTCAGAACTACTTTCTCTAAACAGGTAACTCTCAATATTCTTTTTCATAAATGACTATACTGAAAACAACCTCGGATTTCTTATTCTAATATAGTTATGCAGAACATATGTACAACTCCAAAACAGAAATGTTCCTCGAATCCTACTAAAAATGTCTATCTTGCAGTGTGTGGTGGCTCACGCCTGTAATCCCAACACTTTGGGAGACCAAGGCAGGTGGATCACCTGAGGTCAGGAGTTTGAGACCACCCTGGCCAACATGGTGAAACCTTGACTGGCCAACATGGTAAGACCCCGTCTCTACTAAAACTACAAAAATTAGCCGAATGTGGTGGCAGGCACCTGTAATCCTAATTATTTGGGAGACTGAGGCAGAAGAATCACTTGAACCGTGTGGTAGAGGTTGCAGTGAACCAAGATGGCACCAATGCACTCCAGCCTGGGCAACAAGAGCTAGACTCAGTCTCAAAAAAAGAAAAAAAGGCTGATGGAAAAATAATATGCTTTCATTAAAATTTCATTGATGAAGAAGATAAATATGGAGTAATAGTTGAGAAAGATGAGCAGGTTTTAACATTCAGATTACTCAGTAACAATTTAAGACATCTACTAAGCTTTCATTTACTAAGAATTTTATCTTTACTAAACTTTGGTTTAGGACACGACAATCACTGTTGTAAAGAATAAAATTTCAACTAATGAAGCACAACAATTCTAAACTATTTTTTATATATTAAAATGCATCTTGCATTCCAGCTAAACTCTTAGACACATGCTGGAGGACATAAATTTCCACTAGGTGGCAGAATGATACCAAGAAGGAAGACACGAAAAATTTTACCCAATATGCTGATCAAACTTCAAATGTGTAGCTTTAAATTAAAAAAAAATCAAAAGCAAAAAATCCAAAAAGTTAAAAATTTTAAAACCACATGATAATAACATAGATCAGAAAATATAGATTACAACATTGTCTTTACAGCTGCACTAAATAGTATTAATTACCAAGGAAATTCATTCTATAATTTTGGTTGTAAAATGGAAAGGCTAAAAAGCTGAGATTATTTAAATATTTGTTTCTTCCCCATGACAAGTTTAAATGAAGAAGAGAAAATGGCTTAAAATAACTTTTACTAGTGGTGGCTCACTATTATGATTTTTAAACACAGTCAGATCACACAATCTCAAGGGTACTGTATTTTCAAATGTGTTAATGTCATAAAAGACAAAGTCTGTGAACAGTCCAGATTTTAAAGGAAGCTATAAGAGAAATGACAACTAAATGCAATATTTGATCCTAGACTGAATCCTGTACTGGACGGTAGAAAATGCCATAAAGAATATTATTAGATCAACTGACAAAATTGGAATATGGACAACAGGTAAAAGTATTTACCTTTGCCAGGCACAGTGGCTCACACCTGTAATCCCAGCACTTTGAGACGCTGAGGCAGGTGGATCACGAGGTCAAGACATCAAGACCATCCTGGTCAACATGGTGAAACCCCATCTCTACTAAAAATACAAAAAATTAGCTGGGCATGGTGGCACGTGCCTATAATCCCAGCTACTCAGGAGGCTGAGGCAGAATATCCTGAACCCAGGAGGCAGAGGTTGCGGTGAGCCAAGATCACGCCATTGCACTCGAGCCTGGGTAACAACAGTAAAACTCCGTCTCAAAAAAAAAAAAAAGGTATTTACTTTTTACCTAATGTTGTCAATATTCAATCTACTTAAGTTGATATATGAGCTAGCATTATTTAAGAGACCAATATACTTAGTACAATATTTGGGATTAAGAGGCTATTACACATGCAAATTAACCTCATATGGTTAAGAAAAGTACATATATTATGAGTGAATGAATAGGCAGGGCAAGGATGAGGAAGGGAGTTGACACTATGTGATCCACTGAAGGGAGAAACTTAAAAACTCTTTGTACTATTTTCTTGAAACTTTGCTTTAAGTTTGAAATTATCCTCAAATAAAAGAATTTTAAGCTTAAAGGTATGTTCAGTTTTGATTTTCCAATTTTCAAAAGAGTAGCTTGAGTAATCCCAGTGCTTTGGGAGGCTCAGGCAGGAGGATCACTTGAGTTTGAGACCAATCTGTGCAACACAGTAACACCTCATCTCTAAAAAAATTTTTTTTAATTGGCCAGGCATCATGGTGCACACCTATAGTATTAACTACTTAGGAGTAAAACAGGAGGACTGCTTGAGTTCAGGAGTTTGAGGCTGCAGTGAGTTATGATCACATCAATGCACTCCAGCCTGGGCAACCAAATGAGACTGTCTCTTAAAAACAGTAATGATAATAAATAATGATTAAAAAGAATAGTAATTCCATTCCTTAAGGAAAAAAACAGAATAATTCTTGCTATGTCTCTATAATGGGTTTTATATTTTCTTTTACATTTCTTTCAAAGGTTATTTTTAAATTGAATGGCAAACTATCCATTGAGTAAAACCTTTTTTTTTTTTTTTTTTTTTTTAAGACAGAGTCTTAGTATGTCATCCAGGATGAAGCACAATGGCATGATCTTAGCTCATGGCAACCTCTGCTCCCCAGGCTCAAGCAATCCTCCCACCTTAGCATCCCAAGCAGCTGCGACAACAGGTGAGCACCACCACACCCAGCTAATTTTTGTATTTTTTGGAGAGAGGATCTCACCATGTTGCCCCGGCTGGTCATGAGCTTCTGGGTTCAAGTTACCTGCCTGCCTTGGCCTCCCAAAGTGCTGGGATTACAGGTGTAAACCACCACACACAACCTACATTTCTTTATTTTAAAGATTTAGGCTGGGCATGGTGGTTCACGCCTGTAATCCCAGCACTCTGGGAGGCTGAGGCAGGCGGATCACAAGGTCAAGAGATTAAGACCATCCTGGTCAACATGGTGAAACCCCGTCTCTACTAAAAATGCAAAAATTAGCTGGGCATGGTGGTGCGCACCTGTAGTCCCAGTTGCTCAGGAGACTGAGGCAGGAGGATCACTTGAACCTGGGAGGTAAGGTTGCAGTGAGCTGAGATCATGCCACTGCACTCCAGCCTGGCAACAGCAAGACTCCATCTCAAAAAATAAATAAAGATAGAATTTATTCCACATTCTAGATATAATTTCCTTACTTTGGCTTTTGTATATAAACTGAATACCTGAAAACAAATGGAGAAACTATTCAGCAGATAACAGTACTTCTTTAATTTGAAATATATAATTTAGCCTATGTTCTCAATATTATTTCCATTCTTTGGTGTTAAATATAAGTTGAATACTCAGTACAGAGTAAGGGACCTACCATATAACAGGTGGTCAATAAACGTCTTGAATAAGTATTGAATAAATATAAAAGCAACATTCAACCTACTAAATCATATTTTAGAAGTTTCCTTTATTCTGATCTATAACAATCATTCAATGCAATTCTACTGCTTTAAACTTTTTAAATGTTTACTTCTACAGTTGACATACAGTGTTACAATAAATTCTGGCAGCATAAATTAAATCAACAAAAACTAAGCCATCAAAATATCTTAATATACAAAAAAAATTAATAAGCACAAATTATCAGTTAAAACCAGAAATGCATACATATCATTTGTGTTAAGTCATGTTTATGTGCATATAAAACCTAAATATGTCTACGTATGTCTACAGACACATGCAGCTTTTTCTCTTCATCTCAAAGAACAAGCTACACTGTACACATATGCCTGTGCAATCTTCCTGCTACCAAACTTACTCATTCATGGAGTCTAACCTAATTATCCAAAAAGATACTAAAGGAAGGCTGGACACGGTGGCTCATACCTGTAATCCCAGCACTTTAGGATGTCAAGGCGAGTGGATCATGTGAGGTTGGGAGTTCGAGATCTGCCTAACCAACATAGGAAACCCCATCTCTATTAAAAATACAAAAGTAGGCCGGGCGCGGTAGCTCAAGCCTGTAATCCCAGCACTTTGGGAGGCCGAGGCGGGTGGATCAAGAGATCAAGAGATCGAGACCATCCTGGTCAACAAGATGAAACCCCGTCTCTACCAAAGATACAAAAAGTTAACTGGGCATGGTGGCACGTGCCTGTAATCCCAGCTACTCAGGAGGCTGAGGCAGAATTGCCTGAACCCAGGAGGTGGAGGCTGCAGTGAGCCGAGATCACGCCATTGCACTCCAGCCTTGGTAACAAGAGTGAAACTCCGCCTCAAAAAAAAGAAAAAATACAAAAGTAGCCAGGTGTGGTGGCGCATACCTGTAATCCCATCTACTCAGGAGGCTGAGACAGGAAAAGCGCTTCAACCCAGGAGGCAGAGGTTGCAATGAGCCAAGATTGTGCCATTGCACTCCAGCCTGGGCAACAAAAGCGAAACTCCATCTCAAACAAACAAATAAATAAGAAAAAAAGAAAAAGTACCAAGGGAAAATAACTTAAAATTATGAAAATGGTGTTTACGCAAACATGAAGGTATAATTATATGAGATATAAAATATTTCTTATTTTTTGTTTCGTTTTGCTTTTGAGATGGAGTCTCACTCTGTCACCCAGGCTAGAGTGCAGTGACACAATTTTAGTTCACTGCAACCTCCGCCTCCCAGGTTCAATTGATTCTCCTGCCTCAGCCTCCTGAGTAGCTGGGATCACAGGTATGAGCCTCCACACCCAGCTAATTTTTGTATTTTCAATAGAGACGGGGTTTCACCATGTTGGCCAGGTTGGTCTCAAACTCCTGACCTCAACTGATCTGCCCCCCTCAGCCTCCCAAAGTGCTGAGATTACAGGTGTGATCCACCATGCCCAATTACTATCTTGGTCTTTTAGAACGGGTTTGACAAATTTGTAGTTCTTACTCAGACATGGACAAACTTGAAGTACATGTACTGTACATATGTGTAAGACACCACAATGTCTAAGAGTAAATGACAAAGTGTTCTACAACAAAAGCAAAGTAGAGCAAACATATCCCGAATTTCATTAAACTGACAAGAATGTTCAAAATGAGGAATAAAAAAGCATTTCTGGTCCCCCAAATAATAATTTCGGTATATACAATAATATAATTCCTGAGCACAGATGTCTATGACAAACACTTCAGGTACAGCTTTCTATTTAGTATTAATCTTAGATATAAACAAAAAATCAAAAATGCCACACCTGTTGCCACATTCATTGCCACACCTGTTGTCTCCTTCTGAGAGGATATGTTGTTCAGTTTGGTAGATTACTTATTTTAAGACATAAAAGATAAATGCCTACCACAGACGCACTAGATCTAAATCGCTTTCAATCAACAGTCAAGAATGAAGATGAGAGAGGCGAACAAGGCATGTACCAATACCATGAAGTTCGTAAGGGGTAAGAAACATGGATCAATAACTGCCTGAGACCAGCTTACATTTTGACATCATAAACTACAACTCATCTAGTGTGGAGAATATATGGAGTTGATAAAATCCATCTTCAAAGGGGAAATGATATTGTGAAGCACAACAGCTTCACAATAAGTTTGACTGTAAGAACAGTCTAGGTCAGGCACGGTGTCTCATGCCTATAATCCCAGCACTTTGGAAGGCTGAAGTGGATCACCTGGGGTCAGCCTGGCCAACATGGTGAAACCCATCTCTACTAAAAATATAAAAATTAGCCAGGTGTGGTGGTGTGCACCTGTAGTCCCAGATAATCAGGAGGCTGAGGCAGGAGAATTGCTTGAACCTGTGAGGCAGAGATTGCAGTGAGCCGAGATCACACCACTGCACTCCAGCCTGGATGACAGAGTGAGACTGTCTCAAAAAAAAAAAAAAAACCCTGCCCCCAAAAATAAAGTCTATTGGCATTGAGTCCTTTCTTAATTCTGACTCCCTACAATTAGATATTATCACCTATAGTTGAATAGAAAAAGAAATTAGGACCACAATATGTACTTGCCCCCAAGTAATCTGTCCTCCCGAAATTGTATCATACATTCAAATAGTGAGATGCATCCATATTTTGAAGTTTCCAATGCACCTCGAATGCACTTACAAGAAGATACACAATTCAGTCTCAGAGGCCTTTTCAAGGCCCTGGCACCACTGTATAGAAAAGAGCTATAGTGAGGAACTTTTCATTTTATCAGAATTTAAAGGCTAAAACCAAGTCAATCTTTCAATATAAACTCTACCACCCAAATCCATGGGCCATTTTTACAATTATTTTCCTCATCTAAAATGTTTCTACTAAAAAAAGTTCTATGCTACATGACTTAAATGTATTAATATGGCAATACACACTTTAAGACTGCATTTAAGCAATATATTCTATGCAATTCCTTTATTTTTTTTAGAGAGAGTCTCACTCTGTCACCCAGGCTAGAGTGCAGTGGCACAATCTCCACTCACTGCAACCTCCACCTCCTGGGTTCAAGCAATTCTCCTGTCTCAGCCTCCCTAGTAAGCAGCTGGGACTACAGGCGCACACCACCACACACGACTAATTTTTCTATTTTTAGTAAAGATAGGGTTTCACCATATTAGTCAGGCTGGTCTCAAACTCCTGACCTCAGGTGATCCACCCACCTTGGCTTCCCAAAATACTGGGATTACAAGTGTGAACCACCGCATCCAGCCACAATTACTTTAATATAGAATAGTAACAATTAGAATATCTTTCAATGCTATCAAAAGCTAATGCTATTTCTATATTATATGGAAAAGTCCAAAGTACATCAGTAAGATTTAAAATGACAAGTATCTTAAAAAACTAGATAGAATGGTTCCTATAAATACTATAGGTCTTTCTATACATATATAGGTCATCTTTCTATGAACATGTTGAAGCTTAGATATTAACGGAATGTATAATAAATTGCTAGAAAATGAACTTTCATGGAACAACTAATTATTGAAGCTAAAAAGCAGCAAAGAATTATACTTGCTACCTCAAAAACCATGACCATTTTGGTTTACGGCTCAGCAACCCTAGTCAGCTTTACTTTTGGTTATTTGGGATTAAGACAAGATGGTAAATGCTTCATTACACATAGCAAATTAGCCAAATGGACAAGGATACAGGAAATACTCCCTGTCCAAAAGGAAAAGATATCGATCAACATTACCAGTGTTCATTAGGCAGGCAAGAAGTTATTTTGGGGACGTAAGAAAGGCTATACTGCCAAAATAGGAGATGGGTTATCCAGTAAATCTAAACTGACATAGAGACCAACTAAATTAATAAGGCAGAAATGAGATAATTTTGTGGCTGTACAATGTTAGGCATCTCAAGTATACTGGGTAATTTATTTACCATGACCCTCCAAAGTATGAATTACTACATTTCCATTTTACAGATAGAGAAATGGCTAAATAACTTTCCACTAGATCACACATATTCTGGACGGCAGTGCTGGAACTATAATATGTTTTCAGACTTCATAACCAACGAAGTATATATCAAATGTTTCTGGGCATTTTATTCCCCCCACCCACAACCACCAAAACAAGTCATTTACTATAACTTGTTTTGGTTATATATCCAACCAAACTATATCCAACCATAACTATATCCAATCAGTTAGCCAGAAAATTTCTCAGCTTATCTGTAAGAACACTGAGAGGTTATGACAGCCATAGTTTAGGGGCATGCAGTATTAGGGACAGGGGCAAGGAGGTGCTCAAGCTCAGCAGATACTAATGCTGCCTTCAAGTACCTTACCTAACCATTACCCTCCAATGTCACTAAATTGCCCTTCATGGAGGTCTAATATTATCCATGACCCTTACTGCCACTTGAGATGGGCAGTGGCTCACATAGCAAGAGCAAAATTTGAGATCAAAAAGTACAAACAATACCCTAAAATGGTCAGTCAAATGTTGTTATTCTTGGGTTTGCTATGATTAAACGGTGAAGCTACTTAACTATCCCAGCAGTAATTCAGTTTACCCATCAGGTTTGTTTCCCTAACTTATACAAGGTATGATTAAATACACTAATTAGAGAGAGGTTTGCTGTATTTCTTGAGAATCATGGCAACTTAAGGAATTTTTTTCAAAGAGCTGTGGATCTGAACTGGTTTATTAAAAACTGTTTTCAAGCACAATGCAA